AGTAATGACGTCATACTCACTGAGCCTCCGAACATGAGCGCGACCCAGAGATGTCCCTTACTGTCTATGGTCATGCCGTCAGGTATCGCGTCATCGTACCCGTATGACGTCACGTCAATTATCGTCCGTCGTCCACCTGAAATACGTTAATATAAATAAACTAACTAATATTAATTAAAAAAAGTAACTTGCAATATGAATAAAACGTAGGAAGAATTGATTTGCTTTAAAATAAGTTCCAAACAGCTTGAAGTTACATTGTGAATAATTTTTAATTAATAATGAGGCAAACCTTTTAAGTAAAGGTTTCTGGCTGTTTAAAGAAATCTACATCCTAAAGAAATCTGTTAAAACGAACATTAACAATTAAAAAAAAAACAATACCCTCAACTTACATCCTGTAACATTCAAGCTTAAAAATACTAATGACCTGTAACACGATGTCAAAAATACTAATCACCTGTAACACTTGAGTTCAAAATTACTAGTCAAATACAACATTTTAAACATCGGTCTTGACATTTGCATTTCAGGTCAGGTCTGATAATGCGATATATCTAGAAACGTATCTTCATTCGTTGAATGGGTAGATTAATTACTTTCCTTTCAGTCGGGCAAAATAGGAAATCATAAAGTGAACTAACTGATTTCTCCCTTTTGCGAATCAAAGTCGAAGGCCTCAATCTTCTGTGTGGGCGAATCTATGTAGTAGATGAGGGAGTTGTTGAGGGCGAATGCGATGCCGTTGGAGATGGAGACTGGACGTAACGCGGTGCGAACGTGCGCTCGCGTGTCTTGCTGTACGGTGTATAATGTACCCCTGTCGGGTGTTACATCGTCACCGCTCTGAGGACCCTTTGTACCTGAATTATTATTATAGTTGAATTATATTATTCTGTAATACAGTCTATTAATGTAGAAAAGCGTCCATCATCCTCGTCACCAGCATCGATACGGCATTTATCAACAAGCATTCCGTTGCACGCCGTGTATGCGTCCGGCGCGCATTGGACGCGTACCTTAAGCAAGAGTTCAATGTACTGCAATATTTTTCTCGCTTGTAGAGATTTCTTTCTAACAAGATTTTTTGTTTTTCAACACATTCAGTGCTAACTATTATTATTCAGTAATACTTCAGAATTATAAAAGGCAACACATTGTTAACATACCAACCCAGAAGCGTCCTTCAACGTCAGCTTTGCCTTCATTGATTATGTTGTCGGGTTCACCCTCGTCTACGGAGGCGAGCAGGCGCAATGATGCGTCGCCCGCAACCGTCCAATCCATTAAATACAGCGCCGCGCGGACTGATACCAACAGGCGCTTGGATCCCGATATCAAAGATATCACATTCACTTGGCCATAACCTAATTTAACGATAGTAATAATATGTTAATGTGGGATTTGATTTATTTTTAATATTATAACTCCTCAGATGTTTTTAAAGTTTAAAGCCAAAGTTAATTGAATGTAAATAGCGCCTGTGAATAAATAATAGCAATTTCTCATAACGCAAAATGTTGTTACAATAACATCGTGAACTTTGTCTCATGCTAGCGATATGAAAAAACCTAGATTACGTGATTAACTCTCGAAATCGATTAAAAATTTAATGCTCCATTTGTTTCAAGTTAATTACTTTTGGGTTTTGTTTGTAAAATCTGCATCGTTAAAATACGAAATTAACAAGTTTTAAATACTAATCAATTTACTAACGACAAAATATTTTAAGGTTACTTTTTACAATTCAAGTGAAATTAATTATATAAATTTTGAAACAGTTAAAATATTATTAAATTTAATAATAATTCTATTAATAAGAGATTTAAACTTACCAATATGTTTAGTAGATATTTTTCCCGTGATATAATTTAATTTGTGTATATTCTGCGCGTGTACATCAACAAAGTACAAGGTTTGACTCTCCGCATCCCACACGGGGCTTTCTCCGTGAAGAAACAAAGCTGGTTGGTTCGGATTCTCGTTAGATGATACCTTTAGTAACAATATTTTATTAAAATACCCACTTTTGATAATAACAACTCGAAATCAATAAATCTTTATAATATTAATTAAATTAAATTTATTATTCAATTGTTCGATTAATTTAAAAAAAGAAAGTGATATTTGATAAAATTATAGATTTAAAAACTAAGGACTTTTTTCTACCTAGTCCAAACCAAGGCAAAAATAATTTTAAACATAAAAAATAGAGTCTTAACTGGGAAAAATATATTTTTTATGATTCCAAGTAAAAAAACGAGTTCAACGAACTTTTTTAAATCAAATTATACGAAAGAATAATAGATTAAAAAAAATAATAACTTACCATCGATATTTTATAATATTGATTAACAGATGTTGCCATCACTACACACAGAAGGACGGACACTATTAAAATATGTATATTCATATTAAAAAATTAAAATAGTTCCTTATACAAAAATTAAATGTAACACTATAGTGGTTGTTGCGATCAGCATATTCGTTATGATAGAACGCCATTGTTTCGATACATTAGAAGAAAAAAACCATTCGATCGTAAAAAAAGAAATACGCGCGATCACAAAGCAAATGTTAGTCGTTAAAAAATAAAAAAATTAAGGTACAATGAATAATAAAACGGTATATACTGGAAATCATTTATTTTTGCATCTCATACCCTAGAAATCTAGATTATAGACTTAAATAAAACTATTGGCTTAAGATTTAATATAATCGATTCTACAAATGTGATATACTAGCTGTCGCCAGCGACTCCGTCCGTAATCCGTCTCCGAATTTAAAAAAAAAACTTAATTAGTAGCCCGTAGGTTCTTCCAGACTGTGTTCTACATCTATGCTTAACTTCAGCGGGATCCGTGCAGCCGTTCTACATACCTTTAAACAAACATCCATCCATCCAAACATTCGCATTTATAATATTAGTAAGAAGTAAGATTTGTAGAATCAATAGATCGTTTTATACGTAAGTGAAGTTGTTAATATATGCATTATTTGATATCAAGTAAGGTCGGAAGGTACGAGACATTGCGCAGATCAGGTTAGTAACAGGATGAGGGACGAGGGTGCGCAGCGCGCAGTCAGAGCCGACGATATATTTGAAAACTCTTATACCAATTTTAGAAAATTTAATCTTATATATCATATATATTTAAGAAATACATTTAAACTATTAAAGAAAATAATGAGATTTCGAATATGTATTTACAATTTTTTTTTCTTTCTTGCGTTGTATCAAACGAAACATATAAATACTTGTATCCCAAAAGGTTACGTACATAGGAAGGGGGATGATAGGCGATTGCCCCAGAAGGTATAAAAATTTTAAGTTTTAAAAAATACCATTTATTTTTTTTAATACCCAAAGGGGAATTTTTATTTAATTTTTCTGGTGACCCTTGTGACCACCCCTATCATCCCCCTTCCTATGTACGTAACCTTTTGGGACAACCTGTATACGTTTCTTTTTAAAGTAGTTTTATATTTTGGATTTTTTAAAACTGAAATGTAGTTTCGTAAATGAATTAATCATAAAGGTAAATAATAAATATAATACGTTTTTTTCTGTCGGTACATTATTTTAATAACTAATTTTTATTTCTAAAGCCAATTTTAGAATGTGAAGGAAAAATAAAAACAATAAAATTTTTATTCATTAAAGCATACCATAGATAAAGAAACAGAGTTGATAGATGTTACAAAAATTCTTACCGTAGTTTTCTATTTCTGAAATGCTAATTAAAAAACACAATGTCAATCTGATAACATGTTTCTATAACAGTGTAAACCCACACTAAGAAATTTAATCATATAAATCAAACATCAATTTATTTAAAAAAAAATAATTTATAAACATAATTATTTATTAACTACATCACTTATAATATTAAGTCATTTTAAATCACTAATGTTACCGCTTCAGGGTGTTCACGTAATGACTTCTTCACGATAGATTCACGGCCTGTGGATATTAATACAAACTGTTACTTCAGAGTCCTTTAATATTACTTAAGCAGTTACTAAGAGTAGATACAGTCCACAGAGTACTTTGTATAAAAATAAATAATTTTTCATATCATCATCAGCTTTACATCTCCACTGAGGGTCTTGGAGCCTACCCTAAGTTAAGGGTGATTAGGCCATAGTCAACCACGCTGGCCAAGTGCGGGTTGACTTCACACATATCTTTGGATTTCTTCACAGATATATGCTGCACATCACGATGTTTTCCTTCACCGTAAGAACGTCGGATAAATGTACATATATAAATGGAAAAACACAGTACATAACGGGATTCGAACCCAGGACCTTCAGATTACAAGTGCTTAACCCATGAGCCATAAGGTAAACGTGCGTGCAACAGTTGCCCATAGACGTGCAATTGCAGATGTATTGCCTACCTTTAATCGTCGGAGAAGGGAATGCATAGAAATAGAATATTTTCCCTTCCCGTGCATCCACTCATCCGGAAAATCAACTTCCCATCCTTTACTTATAATAAAAAAGGGGTGGGAAGTAAAAGAGGGTTAAAATTGCCTTTGGTACTACACTCATCAGACTGTACTTGGAATTGCTACCACTTGAGGCATGTCTGTGTGGTCGTGGTATTGCACAAGGCGAGAGCAATTTGTAAGATGTTAAAGCTGACTGTACCACAGTTATATTAGTTAAGTATAGTACAGTTAGACGCAGTATTGTCTATGCGTGGTGTGGCGGGGGCAGGGGCTGCGCGGGCACGTCTGCAGGCGGGGGCTGCTCGGGCGCGCCGTTCACCATACCGCCAAGCACACCGCTCTCCGCTTGCAACCTGCAAATATCAACCTTTTTAGCCAACTTCAAAAAGAAGGAGATGATCAATTCGTGCGTATTTTTTTATGTGTTATTGCCTAATTTAATAACTAATTTAAGAAAACTAGTAATTTCACACCTCTACTTGCAACTTGCAGGCACAAATTTTATCTATCTATAAATACAATTAAATTGAAGTGTCTGTATATATCAAAAAATAATCATGTTTCGCGTACATATATTGGCTTTTCTTTCTTTTCTCTCTGTCTGCTAATCCGTTTTTCTTCCGGATGATAAAACGCTGTACCGATTTTGAAGGGAAGGAATTGTATGCGAGCATATTATAAGCTACTTTTTTAATTCAAAGCTGACGAAATCGCGGATTACAGATAGAGAGACACTATATTGTTAACTAGTTGTCGGCCGTGACATCGTCTGAGTATAAAAAAAACTTAGTAGTCTGTGTTCTTCCAGACTATGTTCTACATGTATGCCAAGTTTCAGTGAGACATCTCGAGATACCTTTAAACATCCATCCAAACATTCGCAATTATAATATTAGTAAGATGAATATGGTAAATATCTGAATTTAAGAAATATCAGAGTAGCCATGCCTTTACAAAAGTACGCATTACGATAAAGATTTTACGCGTACAATTAATGTCAAAGTAATCGACATTTTAGACAACAAAACTCAAGGAATATAATAAAATATAAACAATAAGTAATTTTCATACTTTATGATATATAAAATAGTATATTTATGAAGGATAAATAACATATGTTTACACAATAGAGTTAAAGTCAATTAACACAAATTAAATTTTAAAGCCATGTCTAATTCTGTTTAAGACAGTGGTTCCCAAACTTATTTTGTCTACTGCCCACTTTGAGAATAAATATTTTTAGCGCCCTCCATATTTTCACATATTTAAAAACCACTATAACTTCAAATTAAATTAATTAATTATTGTGACTTATATATTTATATTAACGGAGAATTGTAAACGAAACTTTTACTATAACCCGCAACTTGAGACCTGCAGCGCCCACAAGGGGGCGTTATCGCACACTTTGGGAAAGACTGGTTTAACACATTATACCATTTTTTTTTATATTAGCAGATTTTTATAAATTTACTAATATTTCTTGTAACATTCCAACTAAGCTCTATGCTTGTGATAGAATAAGGTTTACAATAGTCAAATAGCGGGATTCGTACTCCCGACCTCGTGATCTGAAATCCGTACCCTTAACCATTAGACTATTTGCGTTTTATGAACAAATCTATGATAAATTTTACATCGATTAAGTTAAACGATTTTTATCGCATAAAAATTTAAAGAAATATCAGAAATATAAGATTTAGACAAGTTTAATTAACGGAACGAATCTATAAAGCTTGGTTAATAAACTTGTTTTTTTAGCTTTTTTATAAAAACCAGTGGTCGCTAATTAGACCACATCTTACTAATATTATAAATGCGAAAGTTGTAAGGATGTTTGTTTGAAGGTATCTCCAGAACAACTTAATGGTTCTTGATGAAATTTGGTACAGATGTAGAACATAGTCTGGAAGAACACATAGACTAATAATTCTTTTTTTCTTAATTACGCGCGGACGAAGTCACGGGCAACAGCTAGTAATTCATAATCAAAGAATTTTTAATTAAATTTACAAGGTTTATGCACTTTTTCTCCGTATTAATTTTAATTCTGTCAAATTTTAGTTGAAATCCGTTTGAGTTTGGGTTTCCTGGTAAAACCTAGGGGTAGGGATGTTTGGGTGTTGATGTGGGGTGTGGGGTGCGGGGGTGGTGTAAGGTACCTCTGGTGCGCCTGATGTCTTGCGCGGAACTCTGCCGCCTTCAGCTGCTCCAGGTGGAACTGCTGCCGCTCCTGGATCAGCTGCTGCCGCTGGTACTCCAGACCTGATGTACATATATATGTTACTTCATGATTTGGTCAAGTTAAGATACAATATTGGCGACTTAAATTCGAATTCTTATATTTTTAAGCGTTCTTATAACTTAAAGTCTGTGTGCTGTCACAGATGTTGTTGGCGTGCTATGGGATGTGCGATGCGTGTGATGAGTCTGGGTGCTGGAGACCTAATTTTACTCCTATTTTCTTTCCCACTATTTTCTTATAAGGGAAGGATGGAAGGGGAAAAATCCTCTTTCTATGTGTATCCTCCTCTACCAACTAAAGTTCGACAACACATCTGCGATTCCAGATGTCTATGGTTAGTAATCGCTTCGCTATATTGACGTATTCAGATGTCAGTTCGTTTGCCATCTTATTCTCTATATAAAAATTGTATGTACAAACCTTCTCTCTCCCTTTCCATAGTAGCTTCTAACTCCTCAAAGTGTCGCAGTTTGATCTCCAGCTTCTTCATCTGTGTCTCAACGAGAAGTGCGACTAGTGACTTGATCTTGCGCTCCTCGACTCCGGCCAGATGCTTGGCTTTGACCGCGGCTGAGGCGAGCGCTGCTGCAGCGGCCGCCGCCACGCCCGCCTCCACCTGACCACCGCCAGCTGGAGTGCTGCCGCTGCCTGCATCTGCTACACACACAATCTAAATTAAACTCTAATACATTGACTTATGGAACATAGCGGAGTCGTGGGCGACAGCTAGTGTGTAATAACTTTATAACTTTTTAGCTAATTACATTTTTGGTATAAAACTAAAAATGTCACCGCGAGTTCCGTATTTACTCAACAAAATTAATATTTACACTTTTTTTATCAATTTAATAATTTTTTAAATCTCCATTACGGATTTATTTCTATATTAAGATGTTTACCAGGTGATGGAGAAGCTGTATCCTTGGTGTCCTTGGTGTCTTCAGCTGGAGGCGTGTCGGCCACCTCCTCCTTCACTTTCACCTCGCCCTCCTCCACCTCCATTGGCTCAGTCTTCACCTCTGATGATTCTTCTTTCTTCTCACCGACTAACATTAACACTTATTATAAACACGCAGAAAACGTTATTTGCCTTATTTAAATAACTCGTACTACTATTAAATGGTTAAATAAAAATATATTTGAATTACAGTAAGAACATATAGACTACTAATTAGGTTTTTTTTAAATTCTGCGCAAACATAGTCGCGGGCTACAGTTAGTATGTGTATGTGAGACCTGGAGGTTTGACGTCAGGTGCGGTGCCGGCGATGCCGGTGGCGGCGAGCGCGGCGGCGGGCCCGTGCGCGCCGGCCGCCTTCACGTGCGCCTCCATCATGGCCGCAGGCACCTCGTCCTTCAACAATACAACATTTTACTGTCAAATTCACATAAATAAACATTATAAACAGTTTTATTTAATTAATTTAAGGCATATATTTTTCTGACGTTTTAAATTCTTCATCTCTCTCTTTCTTTCTCTTTCTCTTTCAGTCCTCTAAAAAGCCATGAGACGATTTATATAAGGCTAGCAACTGCCCTTAGTATGCGCGGGAATTAAAAAAAATCACTTGGGGATAGTGTAGCTTCCCAAAAGAAAAAAAAATCAAATCTTTACTACACTAGTCTTTAATTGGTCATTTAAGATTAAAAATGTACTCTAAGGAGGACATCACGTCTCTGAGTTCGGCAAAAATATACATTTAAGTATAGTACAATGAAGATGAGTTATTTTACCTTGATAGCTGCAAATTCGTCCATTGCAGCGCGCGTGGCTTTGGAGGCGATGCGAGGATCGACTACAGAAGCGAGGAAGGCCACCGCACTCATCACCGGGTTGCCCACTTTACTGAAAGGTATCGGCTGGTACGCCAGAGGACCCAGCACACCGCCTGTACAAATGTACATAAATTAACTCACATTCGTATTATTCCTTGAAAACTTGCTTGTATATTATATACAATAACTACGTCATACATTAATTCACATTTTATTCGAAATGAAAAAAAAAAAAGTATAAACATTAGGGGTGTCAGTGTATACTAGTGGGGGGTTAGTGTATATTAGCGAAGGTTAGTGTAAATTAGTGGGGGTTAGTGTATTTTAGTGGGGGTTAGTGTATATTACTGGGGGTTATATAGTGTATATGAGTGGGGGTTCATACCCGATGCAGTATCCTGCAGATAAGGCTCCTCGATAGGCAGTCTTAAGAAGTGCAGTATGCACTCATCATGTGTGCGCGTGCCGACGTGCGCCGCAACCCTGTTCCAGTCGTCACGGTGCAGTTCCAATGCTTCGAGCAGCAGTAGCGTCTCCTGCTCCGTCCATTCACGGCCGCGGGAACCACCGCGATACTACACACAAAGATTCACCATCACATATAGATGCCACTAATAAAGAGTTTCTAAAAACGTGTTTTTTTATAGAATGGTAGGAAAGGCAATATCGTTTTAATACAGGTGTCAAGTAATCGTAAAAACTCACGGAATTATTCGGAAAGTGAAAGTAAAAATATGTTCAAGGTTTGTTGCTCTAAATATGCCTTGTATGATATTGTGGGTTTCCACTGCTGAATGATTCAAAGGATATTGTCATCCCTCTCTTTCACTTGGAAAAAAAGAGATGATATTATGTATTTGTGCATGTACTTTGGCATTGGAAGCCTCATGCCGAATTGTACCTGGTCGAGCTTGAGTCCTGGTGCGGTGCCGAGCTCCAGTGTAGGCTCCTGCTTGATGGGTGCTGCGGCAGCGGGAGCAGCGGGTGCTGTGGGTGCGCCACCATCAGCGCCGTTCGGCAGACCTGCCTCCACTTTAGGCACTGCTGCGTTTTCCGCTAAAATACACAACAGTTAGTTACTACATTTTTTTATATTCTATAAATTAAAAATAACAATACTACTTATACGTTTTTTTTAAATGTCTTGGCGGCACAAGGTCATCGGTGCGCTGCGCACCAATACCCCTAATATTGTTCTGCGCAGCGACTTGCAAGAAATTAAGAGCCACCATAATATTAGAAAAGACTTATTTACGGGGTACTTTTTAGTGCGCTAAAGAATAATTAACTTTCTTTACTGTTTCCCTATGTGATCTTAAAATCATGTTCAATGCAAATATAATACATTCAAACCTTTCATAGTTTTAATAGTCTTCAACATTTAGGTAAAAACGGTGATATTTTATCATAGTTTTCCACTGTTTCCACTTTTATTGTTAAAATAAAAAACACTTCGTATCTTAAGTTTTACAATAATTTCGGGAATGGAAACCCACTATTATTTAAGATATGTATACCTGGTCTGGGCTGCGTGGGTCTTGCCTGCAACGGCTGCAGTCCGGAGGGCGTGTCTGACAGCACGTGGAAGTGCGAAGTGGGTGGCGGGCCCATTGCCGTCGGACGAGATTCCGCCTCCAACTGAAAAACATAATACTAACATTAATACTAGCATATAGCCGGTATCGCCGCATTCGTTTTTTTTTATGGATTCCCTTGCCGACCACCTAATGGCGCTAATATTTTTTTTATATAAGAGAAAGGGGCAAACGAGTTCAACACATCATCTGCAACATAAAAGGAACTGCTGATGATTGCCAGCCTTTGAGAAATGTAGGTTTCTGAAGCATCCTAAGTTAAGAGGACAGACCTGTCCTCAATGCGGCCATGGATGGCAGTGAATTTCACGAGGACCGTAAAATGGTGTTAATGTGGGTAAATATTGACCTGATAATTGAGAAGGCCCCACTGCTCGAGGAAGCCATGCACCCGCATGATGGCGCACACATCGCCCGCCAGATTGCGCCGGCATGCTGTGCTCGTCAGGTATTCCGTTGGGTTCAACCGGTATGTGTCGATCATGAAGTTCCTGATACATCCACAAATTACTAATTAAATTAATTAATTATAAATGCGAATGTTTGGATGTATGGACGGATGTATGTTTGTTTGAAGGTATCTCCAGAATGGCTGAAACTTGGCATTAATGTAAAACATAATCTGGAAGAATACAGACACTACATATTAAGTTTTTTTTTAATTGGAGTCACGTGCGACATCTAGTACTAATATAATAAAGAGTAAACACTCTATTTGATTTTTTTTCACGTCACGCTTTATTTTACATATTTACACGCCTTTTAACTTAGGAGGTGAGTAAATTTAAAATTGTTATACGAGAAAGAGACAAAGATGGATGGCAAGCCAACAGTACCTGTAAGCTAGATATATCTCCGGGGTCTTAGATTTGTTCTTGCCATTGAAGAATTCTGGTAGAGCGCGCTTCTCTATTGTATGTATGGAGTTGTAATCGAACCAGGCGGAGTACGACGGTACTACGATATGGTGAGTCTGGTCCGTTACATTATCTTCTAATTCTTCTTTACTCAGCATCTCCTGGAATATTCATTCTCTTAAATCTTACTAATATAAATGCAAATGTTTAGATGGATTGATGTTAGAATATATCTACAAAACGGATCTCGATGAAATTTGGCATAAATATCGAACTTAGTCTGGTAAAACACATAGATTACTAATTATGTTTTTTTTTAATTCCGCGCGGCCGCAGTCGCGTCCGACAGCTAGTACAAAACTTGATATATGCAGGACTCAATATTGTTGCTCAAAATCTGCAATCACATGGGTTATTTCCCGTTGGGATGCTTGATATTGTTCCCATTGGACCAATCGAGTGTCAAACTAGACTTATTATTTGGTGATAACTGTAAATAACGTTTTGTTTGTCCGATCTATTGGTACGTAATGTTGAAAGTGTTTTTCCTTATTGTTTTGTGCGAGAGAGACACCACTATATATAGTTAGATATGTACCTGTGTGTTGGAGTCGCTGTGCTTGCCCTGTGAGTCATCATGCACGTCCATGGCTGGTGCAGGGGTGGCGGGAGCTTCGGCCGCGGCGGGGGGCTCCGGCGGTGGAGCGGCAGGAGCTAACATACATAGATCATTTTTATTACGTCTTCAATATAAAATGATTTCTATGCTCATTTACACGTTTATAAATTTCAACAAATTCATTTTGATCATATAAGCAATATTTATATTACTAGCGGTCGCCCGCGACTCCGTCCGCGCGGGATTTAAAAATAGTTGGGTAATTCTTAGACCATCTGAATATGTATATGGAATTTTATAAAAATTAGTCCAGCAGTTTCGGAGTATAGTAACATTGTGACACGAGAATTTTATATGTCTATATATAAAATCAAATGCTGTTCGTTAGTCCCGCTAAAACTCGAGAACAACTGAACGAAAAATTCAAATTATAGCCGGGAACTAATTAAGTTCTTTTTCACTCCACGCGGACGGAGTCGCGGGCGACAGCTAGTAATACATATTTTTGTTATTGACAAATATTTCTTGGAACTATTTCAAATAAGCTCGAAATACTAGGATATGGTTTATATTAGTTAGTTGGATTTGAACCCTAGAGAGTTAGATTGGTAGGGTGTTGTGTTAATCGTTAGTCTACTAGTGCTTCGTATACTGACTGTCAGCTGAGCGGTCTGCCTCCGGTGTGGGCGCGGTGTCAGTGTTGTCACGTGACGCGGTGTCCTCCTCATCATCACCCTCATTGTCACGACGCTTGGAGATGCGGCTGAAATTTTATATATATACTAAGAGTTAGTATATCTCAAATTCAAATTGGTTCAGTAGTTTCCGAGCCTATTTAATGCAAACAAACGAACAATCGAATCTGTCCTTTTTATACTACTAATATAGATAAACTATATGTTAGACGCTAAAGTCGTGTGAAGTCAAGTAAATTTTCGAAATGATACTTTATATTAAAAAAGATAAGACCGAGGATATTTACCCCAATAAAAGACTTCGCGGGTTTTTTTTCGCCTTACTTTTATGCCGCATTAAGTATCTTTAGGTTATATTTGTGTTAAACACACATGTGTTTTTAGTATTGATGGAAAATCGTAATAAGTTATGTAGAATTGTTTTGCGTAGTTATTACCTCTTTCTCTTTCCGTGTTTCTGTGGGGGAGGGGAGGGAGACCGCTTCCTCTTGCTCTTCTTCCCCTTATTTGACGGCTCCGCACCAGGAATCAAATCGTCCACTGATAGCCTCAATTTGTGAACCTGTATGTATGCAAGAGGATTTTTATTAGAATAAAAATTACTGTTTTAACTGTCGTGACCAATGTCATCCTTGTCTTTCTCTGTGAGACAAACAGAGACAACAATTAAGCAACATTAAGAGCAGAATATTGGTATAAAAACATTGAATAATAAAAATAAATAGCAAGGAAAGGATTTCAAGCATTCTGTTTAATTTATTACTAGTTTTGATTAACTAGAAACTACTAATTTGGTTCAGCGCCCCCTAGTTTCACTTTATGGCACTTTTTTCATCAAGAATTGGATAAGCGAGAAACCTATGAAAGCGAGAGTCATTGTCCTCACAACCAACGAGCTCCATAATGAATAAAGTCGGGTTTAGAAATACATATAAGTGAGAAAATTCCGCGGTCTCTTGGAGTCTCGTTTATCCATATTGGACTGTAGTTAACCTTCTTCTTGCCGTTGGCATCAACTTCGTAGTCCTCCTCGTTCATCCACTCGTTGTACTGCGGCAGGTCGAGCGCCCAGCTCGCAGACACGCGCCACGGCTCGCTGCGTGTGCACTCCCAGCTCACGTTCTCTGGTACATCCACCTAACAAAATTACGAAAATATGTATGAATAAACGTCAGGCATCGCCAGGGTGGGGGGCAACTGCCCCCCTTCCTCCCCTAGAGAATCGATTAAATATAAAAGTTTGGATGGATGGATATAAGAAGTTATCTACATAACTGCTTAACGAATCCCGATGATTTTTTTATATTAGCAGATTTCTTGTTAATTTACTAATATTTCTCGTACCATTCCAACTAAGCTGTAGTCTTGTGATAAAATATGGTTTACGACAATAGTCGAATGGCGAGATTCGAACTTACGAACACCTAATCGGAAATCTGTACCCATAACCATTAGGCTACGCTTCAAATGGACAATTTGGCATAAAGATAGAACACATAGGCTACTAATTAAGTTTTTTTTATACGAGCGGTGTCGCGGGCGATGGCTAGTTTAAGATACATACCGGTAGCTCCGTCTGTGTCCATATATCGTGACTATCAGGCAAGTAGTACCAATGCACCAGCGCACCGTTACCACGTCTGAACACCGGCCGGGCGTACTCCTCTTCCAGGGGGTCTACAGTCGGGTAAATTATATGTGTCGCGTCTTCTTCGTCCTCTGGAAAAAAAATAAAAAGATTTATCTATAAAGAGAAAAGATTTGTTTGTTTGAACAGAATCCAAATTCTTTCAGTATTGGGAAGATTACCGAATATTCACTTCAAGATTTTTTTTTAATTCTTCATAGACGAAGACGCGAGAAACTGGTAGTTTAAAAATAAACAGACATATTAATTAGCTATTCAGGCAAATAACTTCTGATAGATAAAACCAGAGATGTAACTAAATTAATTTTTACTTTTTAATTATAAATTAAAAAAAAACTTCATAGGTCCGTTGAACCGGTGAAGTCGTATAATATTTTCAATTCCATTAATTTCTCTAAAAACTAGAGTCCTTAGCACTGGATACTGTGTGACAAAAAAAATATTGGAAAAATTTCCTCAAAATTGATAGGACCGTTTTTTAACCTGTTGGTAACATTGCGATTTTTTTAATTTCAATGTAAACTCACCACAAATCTCTCCTTGATGATTACTAACAATATCTTTGACTTTATTAGCAGTGGCTTTATCTACATCTGGTCGTATATACACACAAGGTGATCGTATCACTTCTGCACTCATCAGAGCGCTTTCAATTTCCATCATCATCTGAACATTCAGATCCTTACGAGACGGATTCTGAAAAGGGAGGTGGGGGGAAGGGACAGAAAAAAATAAAATTTAGTAACAATTCGAGTGATAATAATAACTAGAGAAGCGTGGGAATTGCAGCAAACTTTAATAGGATAGGCTTAATTTTTTTTATGTACACTTTTATAATCTAAAGAAATTATTTTATTCAGACGATTATTTAAAAAATGTGTGCAATCTTGTACTATTCATGAAAACTGTGTAAAGTTTTAAATCCCTTCAAAAACAATTGATAATGCACTTATCGTGAGTTTCTGAGACCGAAATCCGCGTATAAAATATTGTTATCTCAGTTTTCTAAATACGATATATTTTATACAGAGATTTTGGTCTCCGAAACCTACGGTTGTTCATATCTTTTAAACTTTTATCTAGATCTTTACGCAATACTTATATTTTCTAATAAAAGAGTACAAATTTTATTGTTTTAACTCCATTAAAATTATATATAATCTATTTTATGAGAACAAAACTAAATGCAAAAATAACGTGTACATATCAAACTCAAAGCAATATATTAAAAGTGAACGAAATACTATTTTAAATTGACATTAATATCGTGAATTTTCATGTTTTTTTTGTTATACATGCAAAACATTAAGGGTGAGTTTCACAAAACCAAATACAATTAGTGACAAAACATAACTGGCCATAAACAAAAAAAACATACAACATAGAAACCCACCTTTAAATCCCGAAACAAGCTTTTTGCAACATGAATTGCATGAAATGGAATTTATAATGAAATTTTTTTGACTCAAATATTTTTTCTTTTTTTTAATATCAAACAAGGTCAGACTCTAAGAAACTCAATAAATGTAATATATTTTTTTTTAATTTTACGATTTCTCAAAATTATCCGACAATTGAAAAAGAAAATGTGAAAGAAAAACTCGAAAATAATACCTATGGTACAGATACAGGTATAGAGGATAGTGTTAATGGCTTGTCATACCCTTTGAACGTGCTTTTGGAATAACAATAACACGTGTATGACAAAATCATTATCAAAAATTATAAAACAACCGTTCGTTGCGAAAAGTAATTAAATTTCAGACTATGCTCAAATATGCCGAGCGAAATAAATAAAGAAAAAAGAATTAAAACTTTTTTTAAATACATAATCTATGTTTTTTTAGGCGGGAAATGGTTCTGTCATTCGCGTGTCATTGTATGCGTGTTACTGGCCGCGCAGTATGGCGGGAGCTGGGTCGTCTGCAGGGCTGCGGGGGCTGCGGGGGCGGTGAGAGCGAGGCGGGCGTGCGCGCGACTGCATACCTTACCGACCTGGAAGTCGAACTTGCGCCACCGCTGCTCCGACTTGAAGCGGAACATGGTGGCTAGGACCGTGCACAGCGAACCGCCAGGCTTCATGTCCATAAACACTTTCATCTGAAATTTTTTAAAAAAATGAGACTTATGCCACCGACACGCTTAGCGATCTCACTTACAAAAAAGTCATAGTTGCACGGAACGTGTTGAAAATAATAATAATAAAGTAGTACTTCAAAAAGCAAAAAAAGAAACGTTTCGCTGCGAAACATCGTTTTTTTGCTTTTGTTCCTAACTTTAATTAGGAACAAAAAATACGAACTTTAAATCAATGTACGACCATTCAATACTAAAACTGCAAACGCTTGTATGTAACAATATATAATGACACCTTATAAAGTTTGATAGACTATTACCACATTGTGTGAACCCTTATAGGTCACAAAGCAATGATATCAGAATCCAAAGGAGACCGTTAAAGGCTTTGGATTGTATACATTAAAGAAGATGAAATATACATCATGATTAGCTGTCGCCCGCGACTCTGTCCGCAGGGAATATAGAAAACTTAATAAATAGCTTATGTGTTCTTCCAGACTACGTTCTATAACTATGCCAAAATTCAGCGAGATCTGTTAAGCCGTTCTGGAGTTAGCTTCCAACAAACATCCATCCATCTAAACATTCGGATTTATAATATTAATAAGAAGTAAGATTTAGGTTTATAAGAATCTACATACATATTATTTTCAAACACACACAGAAAGGTTTCTGTAATATAATAAGACGGTTCGTGATTAATTTTATCATAATTAAATCTTTCGATGTCAATCTTAATGTTGCTGACCTTGAACTTTAGCAATATAATTGCAAGTAACATGTTGCATAGTGCGGCAACATCTTTACACATTAGACACGGTATGCAACAATTTGAATAAGATTGGAACAATTTGCTAGCGTTGTTTTTTTTTTTATTATAAGGTGGCAAACGAGCAAGCAACGAATTCGCAAAAATGACGAAGCTACTACCCATAGCCATCAAAAATTGCAGATGCGTTTCGTAAATTTAATCGGCGGAAGCAGTGAAGAAAAGAAAGTGAATAATTCTTAACATTCATTAATAAAATTACTTTATATTCAAAATATGGTCCAAAGAGATAAAAAAAATAGAATAATGGTCGCATTTTGAGAAAACTTCTTTAGTTATAAACCTTGATTTGAGTCGGACTTCCGCGCAGCATGGGCAGCGGTGCGCGACAAGCGAGATATAACTAAATTTGACCAACGTTGATTAAAAAAAAATTAAAAACAAAATGTTCTCATGAACATGGTACAAAACCAGCTACATATTAATAAAGTAATTAAACTTCTAATCTCTAAGTAAGTCTATCAACTAGCCTATAACAATCTAACCCACCTTAAATAATCGTTACATATGGACTTAAGTGCAGACGAACCTATTAATCAATATCATTAAGTGAACGATCAAATCCTTCATCTGTTAGTTCTTAAGGCCAAAATCAATCGGCCGTTAATGAACCTCGTAATATTTTTTTATTTTTAAGTAAAGAAATAAGAAAAGTTTAAAGCAATTCGAGTCGATTTTATCTTCATAATTACTCGAATTGCAATAAACTTTATAGATCCAATGAACTGTACATAAAATGACGTAGCGTAATGGAGGTACCAAGGTAGGGACTAGTTTGACACAACATTAGTGGCTTGTTAGACTTCAAGAGCGAAAGACACGCAGAACCTCTCGACCGTTAATATTAAACTGTGTTTACGACCTTTAAAGATATCCGTGAAATCAAGATTAAGTGGAACGATGGCCATCATAAGAATACTTGTGTTAATTTCTTTAGTAAAAATAATAAATGCGTCGAGGTCAACAGCACCTATTATAAAAACGGTAAGTTTTAAGTACTCGTTTTATTAGCGTTATAAATATTGAAGCATAACCGAACTAGGCTTTACAAACTAGCCCTTTATTTTAAAAGGGGTAAGCAGAAATAATAATCCGATTCTATTTTATATTTAAATGTTTCTCCAGTAAAATACCACCGCAATGTGAACTTTTCACGTGGATGAATGTGAAAAGATCAACTTAACTACTTCTGATCTTAACAATAAAAGCCATAAAATTAAAAAAAAACTGTCGTTTTTAGGTACACCGTGGTGGAACGCATTTCGAGGGTCCCCATTGGTCGCAAGAGGAAAATGCACTCTACTGGGTGGATATCATGGAACAGAAGGTGCATAGAATGGATGCACAGACAGGAAACGTTACAACCAAACAAATAGGTAAAAGCCATTAGTCTGGAAAAAGTGACGAAAATGGTCTTGTTTTTTTTGAGACAAAGATACCACGAAATACATCCACAATTTAAACTTTTACCTTGATCAATCCTTACTAATATTAATATATGCGAAAGTAAATTTGTCTGTCTCGCTTTGACGACAAAACTACCGAACCAATTTAAATGAAATTTGGTACACACATAGTTTAGAGCCTGGGAAATGGAATATAGGTTACTTTTTAAAGCGAAAAAGGGTTAAGTTAAAGAAATAAAGAGCTAAGATTCTTCTATGTAATTTCAGGTTACGGACCCGTATCTTTGGTAGTTACTGTACAAGACAATCCGGGCACAGTGCTGGTCTCTGTTCGTACAGAACTATACCTTATGTCATGGAATGGACCTGCCAATGACAGTGCTTTGAGACTTCTCAGTATCGTTGACTTGGGCTTGCCTGATAACAGATGCAATGATGGAAAGGTTGATACTAAAGGACGACTTTGGTTCGGTGAGTTTATGAAATTACTGAATCAAATAAAGTAATTTAGGCAGTCCTTAAGTGTAGATTTCTCATATTAAATCACTGCTAATGGTTCTGTTAGTGGCCATTTAAATACTCTGAGTGAGAAAGTTAACATACTTGACGAATAATACTAATAATAAGATTAGTAAGAATGCAAACTAACCAATAATATTATAAATGCGAATGTTTAGATGGATGGATGGCTGTTTGTTAGAAGGTATCTCCAAAACGGCTGAATGGATCTCGGTGATATTGGCAAAGATGTAGAACATAGCCTGGAAGGACATACAGGCTACTAATTACGTTTATTTTATCTCGGGGGGACGGAGTCGCGGTCGACAGCTACTATACTCATAAATAAAAGTGCTATTCAGGTTTATCGTGTACTAACATGAAGAGAAAAAAATTGTTTCCTTTATGACATTCCTTATCAATGCATAAAAAAAAACTTTAAAAAAAGCTAATTCCATTTATCACTGTCTACCTAATTAATTTACAAACATGCTGTATATTACAAAAAAATTACAATATTTCTTTTAGGAAGAACAATTTTTAAAGGATTGCTTTCTACAATTATCATCATCAGCTTACTATACGTTCCCACTGAGGGGCTCGGAGCCTACCCTAAGTTAGGGGTCACTAGGCCATAATCAACCACGCAGGCCCAGTATAGGCTGGTTGACTTCACACATATTTTTGAATTTCTTTGCAGATATGTGCAGGTTGCATCACAATGCTTTCCTTCACCATAAGAATTGTTAAAAAAAATTGTATTGATATGGTATTAACTATACTAGTATAAATTTCAGGTACAATGGGCAAAGAAGTAGGTACCACGGTAGACAAAGACCAAGGCACTCTATACATGGTAGACCAGCACAATGTTCTGGATCCGGCAGTGTGGGTGAGACCTGTGACTGTGTCTAACGGCATCGCTTGGACACAGGACAACAAGTTCATGTTCTACATTGACACACCAACCAGAAATATTGATGTTTTCAATTTTAATCTAGAAGAAGGGACTATACGTAAGTATTTAAATAACTAAAACTAAAATGTATTTGAATGTCAGCTGGTTGTGTAATCTGTAGGGTTAATTAAAGTCATCGAAATCATCAGCTCACTATGCAACCCCATTGAGGGGCTCGGAGAGCTCAGTATGGGTTGATTTTAAATTTATCTTTGAATTTCTTCATAGGTATCTGCAGGATGCATCACGATGTTTTCCTTCACCGTAAGAACGATAAATGAACATATGTAGGTCGGATATCGAAAAACAGATTGGTACATGGCGAGATTAAAATCCAGGACCTGCAGATTGCAAGCCAAGTGCTTAGTGCTTAATTCCTATGCCAACAATACTCTTAAAATATATGACATCAAATAGCCAATAATAACGTGGGTGCCTTCAAAACTAGTGTGAATAGGTATTTACTAAGCTAGTACATACCATCCTTTGTACACATACCCATCTACCATCAAGTGGGTTTGTTGTCAAGCTGGTTTATTCAATATAAAAAAATGCCATTCAAAGATTCCTAGCCTAGTCCTTTATATATAGAGATAAGAGTATAGAGATATTAAGGCTGAATCGGTAAACTATTAAAAGTTAATTATGAATATTTTTATAGGTTTTATTTAAATATTGTGTATAGATTTTAAATTGAAATAAAAGACGTTTTATTATTTAAAGGTAACAGGAGAACTATATTCAGCTTTGAAGCAAATAATGTTACTGGACTACCAGACGGCATGACAATTGACAGAGATGGCAATTTGTGGGTGGCATGTTATAATGGTGGAAAGGTACGTTACATAGTGTATTTAAAAACATGCTAGTTTTTATTTTAGAACAATAATTAAAGTATGCAAAAAAATATTTTACCCCTGTCATTTAAAAGTAGCAATATTACACATTTATCTACAGAATTTGATCATTTTCACCATCTAATATCACCATAGTTTTTAGCTACATCCTGTATCTGTTCAGCCCAAGTTGATTTTTAATTCTTTGACCATTGTTCTTTGTATACTTCTTTTACAATTGTGTTTTACTGACAGTCCTTGCATTTTGAAAATATTTTTTTATTTATCAGGTTATAAAAATCGATCCTAGAGCGGGAAAACTACTAGAGCAACATAAATTACCAGCAAGCAAGGTGACATCAGTAGTATGGGGCGGACATGATTTAGAGACATTGTATGTAACTACAAGTAACTTTGGTCTGAATGCTGCAGAACACATACAACAGCCTAATGCTGGCTCCTTATTTGCTATACAAGGCACAGGTGCAAGAGGACTACCAGAAAATCAATTTATATATCCAGGCGCAGCTGAATACTGACACTTTGTACTTGAATGCAAAATTGCTGACATTATATTTTGACACATTAATGCAAAATCAACTTGCAAAAATTTGTATACTGTTATTAAGTCACATAGTTGTAAATTAATATTATTATAATGTCCTTTAGTTTTAAATTTCAATCATTTTATATTTACTTTGTTGAAATTATTTTTCACTAATTTAAATATACTACAAAATATTAATGAAATATTTATAAGTTTTATATTTTACCTAAAACTATTCAACCCAGTGTTACATCTATCTTAGATGGATGGATGTTTGTAAGAAGGTATCTCCGGAAAGCCTAAAGAAATCTTGATAAAATTTGGCACAGATAGAACAAAGTCTGGAAGAACACATAGGCTTATTAACTTTTTCTTTAATTCCACATGGATAGAGTAGCTGGGTACAGCTAGTCAATAATGTAATTGAACTTACCGGAAGCCTTAAGAATGGTGGATCTGAAGCATTTTTCCCCAGCTTGTTTTCCTGATATTGTATAAGCTGAATAACCAGTTGTGCCAAACCCTCTTTAGTTGGTGGATCTGTTTGTACATGCTGGAATAAAAAATGTGGAATATAGTCACACAATAACACCAAATATATATTAACTAAGTAACACAACCTAAAAACAAACAAAACTAATGTAAACGGAAAGATATGTAAAGTATCTTCCGGTTAACATAAATTTTTCAACATTTCAACCTATCTGCAAAACAGAATTACATTCCATAACAAATGTCATAAGAGACCACTTTCCCTCAGTAAATATGATCAGTCAGAACTAATAATACCTTTTTTCACATTATCATGATATGTGTGTAAGGTTACTTTTTAAAAAGTTACAAGTCCCCTAATATTCTTATTTACATATCTATCATTATTACTTGGATTTTTTACAAAACTACATAAAGGAAGAAATATGAAGGTTTTACAGTTCTTGTTTAAACGACAATGATCCAGGTTTCAACAAATACATTGATTATTAGTCTAAAAAGAAATGTTGTTCAAAGTTATAACTTACCTTTTTGCAATTTTTTTGTAACCAAACACGAATCTGATCAAATTGTGCTAACGACTCCGGCGCTTGGAAGAATTCCACGTTAGGCCCTCCATCCTTCTTGGGGCCTAGGCTTGCCATCTCGCTGATTCACAATAAGCACAAAAGTCTACTTTTCACTTGAATATGCACTTCTTGAAATTAACACCTAAACTCAACAAAATATTTAAGATTTACACGGCGTCCTTTCAATTGTTGACATTCGTGTGATCGTGTTGCCATTGTATGAGAGGCACAGAATGTATATACTCGATAGCGTAAATAGATAAGAAAAATAGGTTGTACGCAATAAAAATTCAGCATTTTATTAATCGGATATAAATAATGGTAGTTTTATTTATCTGTCAATTTTTTTTTATCATAAGTTGGCAATTAACCAAGCGGCCACCTGAATTCGTCGAAATATCGAAGTTACCGCTATCATTGCGAAGCAAATGACCGTGATCGCTTCTTTGGCGTCGTGGTATTGCGCCGGTCAAGTCGACTAGTTAGTGCAATAGATTTTCCTGTCGTCTATAACTATTTTGAAATTGTCAGAGAAACTTTGCTTGACATTTCATTGTGTTTTGGAAGTTCAATGTCTTGTTCAAACATATTTTACAATTATTCAGGGTAACGGGCACTAAGTTATGAATCAAGTGATTTAAAAAAAAACAAGATTTTATTCCACAAATATTTATTGAACTTGTAGAGCTAAAACAAGCATATTCTATTGTATTAAATTTCCATCAATACATTGATGTAACCATTTTAACAATTCATTATTGCATATTCGTCTGATTGATAACTATTAGATGAGACTTTACATAAAATATTTGACTAGGTCCATACTACATTTACCAAATGTGGCAGGTCACATATCACTGGCTTGCGGCCAAATGGAATATAATGTATTGATTTTCATTACACATAGACTGACCATAAAAATAAAGGAAGCAATCAGCACTTTGTATTTTAAACAAGGTGTTGTACTATGAAAGCATAAGCCAATAACGACTGTTTAGATTTGTCAGTTTTTACTGAAGTGACAATTGAATTAACACATTCTGTCATCCCGCACATTCTCTTTGAAAAAACAGAGACAAGTGTTAAGACAAATGTCACAGCAATAGAAAACGTTAAAAACACAGCTATCAAACAGTTTAAAACCTGTTTCGATATCGATTCTATATGAATAAACACCACATAATAAAATCACTTTAGTTAACCTTATGAATAACAGTAATTAATTAGTTCTCAGCCAATTCTGAACATTATTTTGACATTTCCTATTAATCTATTACTTTCAAGAGTGTTGCCAGTTGAAAATTAGTTTTCAAATTTAGTAGTTTTGTTATAACATTTTATTTTAAAAACTACTGATAAGCTAAATACGTTTAATGTCTTTAACAAGTGATTTAACGATATAAAAATATCATGAGACTGTAATTGACCACATGTTGTTATCCTGGTTAAGTGTAGACCTTGACAATAACGCTTAAAATGTGCAAATAATGACATAAGTATTAATGGAAGATTTATAAAACACTAGCAAAATCTATGCTTTAGGAGGACTCTCGAAGATTTCTTTAATGTACAGATCTTATTGATTTCATAATTTTCAACAAGTGGCGTATTAGTTTCTTAATAAAGCGTACCGTAAAATAGTAAACTTTGCGGTTTGTATAGGTATCTCTTCGCACGCCCTTATTATAACTTAATTTGCTTGTTCAGATGTTTAAAGCATTTGTAATAATAATGAAAATTACAATGTTAACTTTTAAAAATTCCTACAATTTATAATACGCATCAGTCATAAAGCTGATAAATTACAATACATTTAGCAAAACTGTATAAAATATACTTATAATTAAAATAACAAATTAATTTAATATTATTCATATAAATTTTAAAACGAACTCCTAGATCTAATTGCACATTTATTTATATTCAAAATGGAAGCTATGAAAGACATTTGATAATACTTATTTAAGAAAGAAAATGAATAGATATACTAGATTATGGTGTCCACTTGTCATGACAGCTTTATGACAAATGTTTTGCCTTCTCTATTTTTAAAAAAAATAACAGAAATATCCTTAAACACATTTCAGATTTAAAATTCAAGGTAACTTCAAATCCTTTCCAAAATAATTATGAATAATCAATAATAAATAATAATTAAAATCATCGTCAAGGTCTATACCATGACAGTGAAAATGGCGTAAAATTGACGTTATATTCCAGCTACAATTCATTCACATAATTTAACATTTAGTTACACTAACACCCGTTTTGTATATAGCGTGTAATTATTGTCAATGTATAATTGAAAGCTGGCAACTGAAGTTAAAAGATGTAATGTAACATGTTACACGGCGAGCATTTATGCTGTAACATAATGGTTACCCGTAATACTACGAACTGAAGGTCTATTACGAGTATTTGCGGTATTAGTTTTCGTTAGATCATCGACAAATATGTCGAAATTTATAATACATTTGTCGATGTATTTTACCGCACTATAGAAGTGCTGTACAAATCTAAGAACATTTTGTCGATATCATTATATATGCTTGTCGTGTAACATGTTACATTACACCTCGTAACGTCAGTAACCCAGCTAAATATGTAACACCATGTTACAAGCCCTACATATATTTTTATATTCGAACATTCAACATTTCACACTCTGAGTGTGACTTATTAATTAGGATTAAATTAATAATTATCATTGTTTATCAATTCGCTAACTAGCAAATTTCTATAACAACTAAACAACATATAAAAACCAATAATAGCGAGTATCTTGTAATTTAAATAAATAAATATTTAATAACTTATTTTTTTTTTACAATTTTCACGAATGTTTATTTAAATAGCAGCAAATATGATTTGAATTTGAAAAAATCTTTCATAATTTTATTAAGGCGCATAAGAACAAAGAAAGCAAAGTTACATTAAACAAATGGTTATTTTTCCTTCAATTTTTTTAGAGTCGACTCTAAAATTGGGTAAAGGAAATTCCAAGCATCAGTCACTTTTCGGCATATTTCGTTACATGAGAGAGATAGATATAAGTGGAACAAAAGAGAGAGATGCATACACTAAAAACACCATAATTTAAGATTGTTAACAGAGATTTTTTTCTCTTACACTGCGTTTCCATTACGCAAGATTTTCTGCAAATGTTTCGCAAATCTCTCATTTTTTTACTTATAAGCAACATTTTATGTGTACCTTTCAGCCATTATTATACGCCTAAAAGATTAAAAACCATTTATATTTAAAAAAAAAAACTAAATTTAGATGGACAACCAAACACTACTATCATTTTAATATAAGTTATTGTGTAAAAAAATAAATAACACACCAACAAAATGATACGCTGAAGCAACTTTATCGTAAATAAATACAAAAATTTATAATAAATAATATTGCAAACGTATAAAACATTGGCTACGTATGTTGAGAGCTGAAAGAGTTTAAATTCTATCACAGAATTTTTATACCAAGTATTATTTCATTTTGTAAGTTAAATACTTTAAAAGGAACGTGGCAACATTGATCAATTGACTGCAATTGGTCAATTTTTGTACCTATAAACTGACTCGAAGGACCATATTTTTCATTGGACAAAAAGACAGATATTTATAAATAAAATGACTTCGTTTAATACTGATATGTCGTCTAAGTATACTTTATCATTTTTTTGGTCAGTTTTTTTTATGTAGGCAACACTAACCAGAGCGCCTTTTCATTTTGGTTATAAGTATAATTTGTTTGTTTGGTATGTGTAACACTAACCAATCTTTAAATTACAGTTAAATTCACTTTGAATAAATAATAATTAAATATTTTGTTATATTTGTATATATTAAACTCTTTCAGCGCAAGCAACATAGGAAATGGCAGTAATATAACCGTTGTTTCCACAGCTGAAACAGATGCAAAAAAAATATATTCATCTCTTTTATTCTCTTCAGAGAAAAAGAGATGACTATAATTTTGTATACATGTTTCAGCAATAGAATTTCTCGGTAACAAAACAAAATAATCAAAGGCTTTACACCTATACAGCCACTGACCTCTATAAATGGACAGGCTATAACCATTATATTTTGTGTCTATTTGATCTACGCCATTTAGGCGCTGACGACTGCGGTTAGTATAAAAGAATTCGCACTTATAATAGAGATAGTATTAAATGTCAGGTCAACAGTCGCCGTTAAATTAAAATAGCCTATCCATTTATAGAGATCAGGGTATACAGCCAAAGTAACCTTGGTTGAGACGTACCAAGAGGATTAATATATTTATTTATAACCTAGCAGATATTCGGCTATGCCAATGTAATAGATGGTTTGAGCGATACCGAACAAGGGAGCAATCACCATCATTCTGCACGCGCCGCCCTTAAAGAAAGCTGTTATACCCTCATGTTTCAATGTTGTCCTGGAAATTAAAAATTGCTTATAATACACTAGCGGACCCGACAGACGTTGTCCTGTCTATTAAAATAAAAAAATAAAATTAAAATTCGAATATTATTTAAAATTTGACACTGCGATGGTAGCGCCGTCTGTCGGATCCAATGTAAAACATTCCAAAATTAACAACTACTAATAAATTAAAAATTAATTAAAAAAACATTGTCCAGCGGACAAAATTGTGAATCTAAACCATTCCCAGATCCCCTTGAACACACACAAAAAATTTCATCAAAATCGGTCCAATCGTTTGAGAGAAGTTCAGTGACATACACACTCACAGAAGAATTATATATATAAAGATATAAAAACAAGTAATATTATCACGTTATTCTATTAGCGAAATCACATCATTTAATGCTAATATTTGGGAGATAGTAAGAATGTATTATTGGTCATTTTGTAGTGTCGGCCATCTTGGATTTATTCATAGTATACTTTATAACTTTTCGAGAGCGTCGTTGGCTCAGTGGTCGACTCGACTTGCAATCTGCAGGTCCTGGGTTCGAATCCCGCCGTGTACCAATGTGTTTTTCACGATTTACATATGTACATACATCAGACGTTGTTACGGTGAAGGAAAACATCGTGATGCAACCTGCACATATCTGAGAAGTAATTCAAAGATATGTGTGATGTCAACCCGCACTTGGGTAGCATGGTTGACTATGGCCTAATCACCCTTAACATAGGGTAGGCTCCTAGCTCCTCGGTGGGGAGATATAGTGACCTGATGATAATACTTTACAAGTCAAGCCTTTTCATATGATACCCATAACGTAACTGTCTTCTTGGATTTTTTAACGACAATGATTATAAAAAATTGCAATGTCACCGATACTAAAGGTGACAGTCAGCATCAGTCAGCTTTGTCGGTGTACACAGAAGCGTGTCAGTAGTGATATTATGTGACTCACATGACACAATCCATGATGGAGTTGTACTGCTTCTCCCCGCTGCCCTTGGAGATGGTCTGCATGCGAGTCTTCACCACGTCCATGGGGTTGACAGAGATCGCGGCAGTGGACCCAGCCGCGCATCCAGCCAGGAACGACCACCTACACACCACTCACAATCACATATCCACTTTTTTATCGAAGCTCCTAATGGTTAAATGTAGGGATTTCCGAACACGAGGTTGAAAGTTCGAATCCCGACATTCAACTATTGTTAAACATATTAGTTGGAATGATACAAAAAATATAAGTAAATCAACAAAAATCTACAAAATAATTTTACTAAAAAAATAAGAGTGGGCTGGAAACACCGAGATGATCAACGATATCCATGAACATCCAGTACACCAGAGGAACTGCAAGTGCGTTACTGACTTAAATAAGAATCTTAGACTAGGCATTAACTTACAATTAGCCTTATCATTTAAGACAGTGGTTCCCAAACTTTTTTTGTCTACTGCCCACTTTGAGAATAAATATTTTTAGCGCTCCCATATTTTCACATATTTAAAAACCACTATAACTTCAAATTAAATTAATTAATTATTGTTGTTAAGAGTCGAGAGCTCATCCAGTCGTTGTCTAAAAGCCAGGCCTCTACACAACGCCCCCATTTTCTTTCTGGGTCTCTTACCCCCTTGAGACCTGCAGCGCCCACAAGGGGGCGTTATCGTCCACTTTGGGAAAGACTGATTTAAGTGAATATTACTTATTTAAAAGTGAATTGAGTAGTCAGCCGTTAATTAATTAAGTAGTTGTTTTAAATGAAGGTATAGATTACCAGAATGGCGGTGCCTGTCCGTTTTTGATGCCCATATCGTTAAGTATAGCGAACATGGGGAAGTATATGACACTGAAGGAGACATCTCGCGCGGCGGTGGCGGTCACTCCGCGGTACAGACCGAAGATGCCGCGCTCCGCCAGCAGACGCTTCGTCAGCGCTGTTGCGGTCAACCTCTCTACTTTACGACCCTCTGCAACACATATATTAAACTTTTTAATTTATTTTATAACAAACTATTATCAAAATTAAACATCTGGAAGAACCATTAATTTGAATAAAATTGGTTTGTCTGTGTGTACGTTGAATTACTTATTAGTGTCGAAAACCTCATGTAAATTTATTAATGCTAAATGGTAATGAAAGAACATTTCTATTGATTAAAGTAGGTTTCTGAGAACAAATCTCCATTTGTAACCTGCAAATGTTTGCAGTGTAGATGGATGGATCTTTGTTAGAAGATATCTCCGGAACGGCTTAACGAATCTTGTTGAAATTTGGCATAAATGTAGAACATAGTCTGGAAGAACACATAGTATAAAGTGACCTGCTTTCGCCTGCGCGGCCACTCTGCCCGCGTCTTGCATCTGGATCTTCAGCAGTTCCATGGGCGTGGTGATGACAATCTGACAGGCGCCAGCCAAACCACCCGCCAACATCTGGTTCACGATCGGCAATGTTCTGCACACATAAAAGTAACCATAAATCCTTGTTTAGCTAGTACAGTCAGCTGCATAAATATGTATACCTTTAAAAGGCTTTCAGAAAATAATATACGATTTTGGTTTTAAAATGTGTATACACGTACCGGTCCGTATGCTTCCGACCACTAGTATATAATTTTATCGAATACATGCAGAAGTATTTTTGAAGCAGAAAGCATATTAAAGTTTAATAATGTACAGTCAGCGTCATATAGATCGACACAGACAAGATATGCAAATATATAGGTACATCAAAAGTAATCAATTATATCGGTACAACAAAAGTCCTCAAAATAATAGATACATTCACCCTGCTCAAAAACATCGGTACATACACAGCGTCAAATATATGAGTACATGCAAGATGCTCATAAATATCGTAGCAGCCACAGCGTCATAAGTAACGAAGCAGTCAAGGTGCGCAAAAATATCGGTACATTTGACAAAATTGAACTCTATCCCTATATACTTGTGATACAATTTGGAATAAACTACTTCTGTTACATTCGTTTGACACTTTGCATCAAACCATTTTTCAAAATTTACTAAAAGTGTTCGACGCGGATGACAGATATTAGGTAGATAAAACCAACATCAAATTTAAGTTTGTCATCATATATGCTAGTTTGGTCTCGTGGCCTTACCGTTCGCCGCCGTTGGTACGTAAGGTCGGCGGTTCAAATCCCAAGCCACTATTTTTTTTTTTGATATTTAAACTTTTTAATTTTAATATCGAAGCACATGTAATTAAATTCTATCGCCGTAGTTATTAGGTACTTTTTGATATTGCCTTGGACTAATGAGTTTGACCGTTAAAGTATTTTTCTATTTCAAACAAAAATGAAGGAGATAAAGCGATGCTATTGGCATGTAATTTGTATATTAGTCAAGTTTGTTAAACTTGTACCGGTAAAAATAACACTTTTACTTTTACCTTTTACTGATACTGATTATATTTAAGAAACAAAGAAAAAAACTGAATGTCAATATCCAAACAACATCAAATTTTTGGTCGATTGCAATAAACATTCCAGTGTGCGTGGGCGCGCACACATATGTAGATAACACTTGTACGTATAGTTTCCGCGCGTACCATTCTTAAAACCCGCAAGGACAATCCACGCTCCGCCCACTCACTTCACCCGCGATGGTCTGACCTAATTGTTGTTAACTTTATTTAAATTTCTTTCTACCCGACAGCGAAAATTATAAAAAAAAATTGTCGAGCAAAATTTTACATTACCAAATTTTTACTGGTTATGAAAAAATAACCCCGTGATTGATAAAATGAAAAAAAGTAGCCTGAGATTCGAACCGGTAAACTTACATATTACGGCAAACATACTAGAATACTGCGCCAATCTAGTAAATATTGTGACAAGGCAAAATTTGATATTAGTTATTACGTATCTGTCATATTCGGCGTGACAAACTTTTATATTTAAGCGTTATGACAGGAGAAGAAAAATATTGGGTTGCCCAGTAAGTTCGTGCCGCTTTATAAGGAAAATTGAAACCCTGTTTTCTTAAATTTTTGGAAATGTTTTTAAATTATATTGGTACCACTCTATACCTAAAACGTCTTTTATTATTGGATAAAATTTTAAAAATTAGTTTTTATCTCAACCAATGAAATGAAATTATTCACAACATAGAAATTTTTGTGACGTTTGATAATGGTGGAAATCCGAAAATGAATCCACTTCAGCTACAGTCTATTTTAAGCTTCCTATCGAAAATCGGAACGAACTTTCCGGACAACCTATAATGTTAATACAAAGTGTCAAATGAATGTAACAGAAGTAGTTTATTCCAAATTGTATCACAAATATATAGAGATAGAGTCCAATTTTGTCAAATGTACCGATATTTTTGCGCACCTTGACTGCTTCGTTACTTATGACGCTGTGGCTGCTACGATATTTATGAGCATCTTGCATGTACTCATATATTTGACGCTGTGTATGTACCGATGTTTTTGAGCAGGGTGAATGTATCTATTATTTTGAAGACTTTTGTTGTACCGATATAATTGATTACTTTTGATGTACCTATATATTTGCATATCTTGTCTGTGACGATCTATATGACGCTGACTGTACACATATTTATGTAGTTGGCTGTACATTAGAACAGTAGCGCTCGAAATCAGCGCTGGCATACAAATATTGTAATCAGTAACTGGCGCCAGTACGTAGCTCCATTCCAGGCCAGTGCTACTCTCCTACTGTACTGTCATAATGTAAACCAGGCATAAAATCAGAGCTCTATGTGTACCTTACCGTAGGTTTCTAAGAAAAAAATACCCGTTTACAAAATATTGTTATCTCTGTTTTGGTCAAAGATAATGACAGGGGTGACGATATGTTTTATCCGATGTATTTATTTAGGTGCCAGAAACCCCAGGTTAGAGAGCCAGAGAGCAACCGCAAACTTCTTGTATCCAATTTTTGCGTTACTTCAATAAAAAAAAGTTACTAATAATTTACTCTGATACTAATATTTCAATGCATATTCACTATCTTCGTTTATCCGTTTACACTATAGATAACGTATTATATTTTGGGGGTTTGTCCAATGCTATCTACGTATAGCGACATGACGAAACAGATCGTATCTTGACGTAGAAACACGATACCAAGATTGAATGCTACATACCGTGTTGTTATGGAAAGATTTACATTTAAGTTTAAGACATTTTAAACCTAATAGACACGTAGTTAAACCTTAAATTTGTCCAGATCTCTCCTTTCGTGTTCACTTAAAAAAAAAAACAGTATTATTAGTCCAAATGTTTCCATACCCATCAGGTCTCGTGAGATAGAATCTGAAGAGATCGTTGGCGGCTAACTTGATGGCCTTCTCTGGAGTAATAAGTAATATGTTGACACCAGAACCCCGGTACATGCCGAAGTAGCCCTCCGCTCGGTACGTCTTCTTGAAACAATCCAGCCTAAACAATAATAAATATCAAGTCATATATGTCCCCACTCAGGAACTCTCAGACTTCCCTAAGTCAGCAGTTAATGAACTTTAGTCAGCAGAAGCACAGGGGGGTAGACAAATATCTTTGAATTTCTTCGCAGTTATGTGAAGGTTGCATCACGATGTTTTCCTTCACAGTAAGAACGTCGGATATACGTGTTGAAAATGTATTGTCTTTTGGATATTAGCATCATCTATATATATAAAAGAAATTCGTGTTAGTTACACTATTTATAACTCAAGAACGGCTTTACCGATGTGGCTGAAAATTGGTGGTGGAAGTAGCTTAGATCCAGGAGACGCACATAGGATACTATTTAATCCTTTTTTAATTGTTTTTTTTTTCGAATTCATGCCTTGATGAGCTGCCTTTTATCAAACTTACTAATATTATAAATGCGAATGTTTAGATGGATGTGATGTGGATGGATAAATGGGTGGGTTACACTATTTAAGTTTTTTTATATATCCACGCGGACTGAGTCGCGGGCGACAGCTATTATTTTATAAATTGCACTTTAGTATACGATTATAGAATAAATTAATTAGGGTCAATGCAATGTAAATACAAGCTATAACAAATAAACATTGATATGTTGATCTGTTTGTGTCATTATTTATTTGTGTCAAGTTATTGTGTAACTTATAGCTTAACTTATTAATTTAGTTAGTAAAAAAATATCTTAAACAAACTATGTTATCACTCGCTTTAAGCTTAAAAAGGGTAGACATCTGTTTAAAGCTAAGACTAAAAAATACCAGGTAAAGACTTGGCGAAAGCTAACACGAAGGATCAAAGATAAAGTAATTGCTTACATGCTGGAATATTGCTTTTCGCCATTCGGCCCTATGGTCTGGTTCTGCAGCCTAGTCTTGACCAAATCAATGGGGAAGACCACGGATACTCCCACAATACCAGCGATACTGCCATTGATGATCTTTGGTAGTAGACTGAAATTAAACACAAAATTAAAAAAAAACCTCTTTCTGTGCAGCCCCTTCGCAAATTAGTTTATGGTTTTTATATCACTTCGATATTAAATTATTCAAACTTTCGTGAGACATTATAATAAACTGATATAAAAACGGCTATTGCTGGTATTATTTCGTAGTAGCACTCATCCTGATGAAGGGCCCCCGATTGGCTCGAAACTAGTCGGTGCCACCACCGGACGAATATACGTGAGTGTTTAGCCGTTTTTATATCAGTTCACTTCGATATTTTGGCGAAGTTAGGTGGCCGCTTGTTTGTTATATCTTACTAATGTTATAAATGCTAATATTTGATCGGCTGTATAGATCTCGCTGAAATCTGGCACAGATGTGAAACAGTCTGGAAAAACACATTGGCTCCTAATTACATTTTTTAATTCCGCGCGGACGGTGTCGCGGGCGTCAGCTAATTATACTATAACTTTCGTAGTTTTATTTGGAACATGATTACAACTAACGAAAATTCAAATCGTTGTGACAACGCGACGTTAAGAATCTTTGTAAATTACAGCGTGTTCACATTTCCGCAACATAAATAAATAGAAAAAATAAAATAAAAAAATGTTATTTATCTCTCTCTCTTTCTCTATGAATGTTGAGATAGCAACATTAATTAAAAAGTAAGTGAACATTTTATGTGATAAACCATCGACTATAATAACATCGATAATTTCGCGATTTTACGATAAATTTATTTTATTCTGTATTTAAAATATATTTCCTATTTTATACTATTACAAGTCGTTCATAAATCAATATTTTATATCAGACAAATATGTTTACAATATATCTAAAATGCAAATATCTATAATAATAAACGAGATACGAGTTTGCATGTAGAAGCAAAAGTCACCTTGAAACAAACTCGTTAACTTGCTAACATAATCTATTCTTTAAGCAAATCCACTATTCAGTGTCCAAACACGTCCAACGTAAAAACGCAAAAGTATGAAACTCTTTCAATTACAATAATAACTGTTTTACACAACTGCAATTGTTTTTAAACTCTATTCCGTAACAATTAAGGTGTTTATTCAAATAATACGTTATTTAAATTACTTGTTGAGCTGTAATTACTTAAATGAAGTCTATTTGACTCAATTATGTTAAATGTGGACTTTACTTTTTTTAATTTAACTAGGACAGTATCGACTATTGAATATCTTACTAATATTATAAATGTGAATGTTTAGATGGATGGATGGATGTTTGATTCTGATTCTGTCAATCTTGATTGAATTTTGCACAGATGTAGATGAAGAACATATAGGCTACTCATAAAGATTTTTTTAAATTATTAATTTATTGTCACACATTTTCATCCTTTTGTTTTTTTTTTATATCATAAGGTGACAAACGAGCGAGCGGCCACCTGGAATCGCTGAAATAGCGAAGTGACCATTGCCCATAGACATACGCAATTGCATATGTGTTGCCTACCTTAAATCGACGGAGGAGAGGATGCACAGAAAGAAGATATTTTCCATTTCCATGCATCCTCTCATCCGGAAAGTCCACTTCCAGTTCCCATCCTTTTCTTATAAGGAAAAGGGTGGGAAGGGAATGAGAACTAAATTAGGCCTCCGGGATGCACACTCATCAGACTTCTGTGTGGTTGTGGTATTTCACCGGGCGAGCCAGGCCAATTTGTGCGAAGATGTTAAAGCAGGCTCTACCACTGTTAAAGATATAGAGATTAGAGAAAGACTATGATTATATAAAAAACATAGCTGTCATTGGCATGTTCGTTGCCATGAATAAAGTCTATAACACGAATGCCTGCATCAACTACCTTCCCAACAAAGTCTTATCAAAATCGGTCCAATCAATCCAGAAATTACATGGAACATGCAACTTTACGGACAGGAAAAAACTTAAATATATAACATAAATATAAATACCCAACCAAATAGAAAAAAAAGGAACACTATAGAAAATAGTATTAAACTGACATATTTAATATAGTATAGACTGTCAAAATGTCTAACACAAGCCAAAAAGAATCTTATTTGTTGACTATAAGCCTTTTATCAATATTAAAAATATGTGAGTCATCATCATCAACCTGCCCTTATCCCTATCGAGGGTCGGCACAGCATGTACTACTCCTCCATACATCTCTATCAGCCGTCATATCCGAGTCTACCCCCTTCTTACGCATATCCTCTTTCACACAGTCATTCCATACTTTTTTTGGTCTTCCTCTACCCTTGTAGCCATCCACATTCAATCTCATTACTTTTTTGCTTATATCATCATCATCCCTCCTCATAACATGTCCAAACCACGCTAATCTTTTACTCCTCAATTTCTCGATCACTGGCGCTACTTTCAAACTTCCTCTAATATACACATTTTTAACTTTATCCTTCCTAGTCACACCACACATCCATCTTAGCATACGCATTTCAACTACATGCAATCTTCTTTCATCCGAAACCTTGGATAAAAAATATGTGAGTATGAAATACAATCTTTCCAAAATGCAATTTCAAAGTGAAGTTTATTTTGCAGATAAATATGATCAAAGTAATAATGTAAATGGTTGTAATGTTCACCATAACTAATTAAATTAAATCTCTTTGGTTTTAAATTATATAAATTCAACTTACTGGAATTCTGCTGTTTTCGGCTTATCTCCTTGCTTGCTCATTTTTGTGTTTTCTGTGAAATAGGTTATATTTAAGATTAAGACTAATTAAATGAAGACTAAGAAGAATAAGATTAAGAAGAGAACAATTATAAATATCGTATAAATATTATAAGTAACAAAAATACAGTTCCATGAAATGCTACAAAATGAGTAATAAAAGCTATTTTTTTTTATTCTAAATAGCCTTAGATAAATTATTGGAAGCTTTAAATGTCACTATTAATTGTAATAATTCAAATATCTACTTAAATTCTGTTATAGTCTAAATCCAGAATTATTTAATTCAAAAGTATGATGTATTCCAGTCATATAATTGAGTTGCAGTTTGTAAATCAATACTGTCTCCACCCTTTTACCTAACACACCACTTTCATGTTACATTATTAGAATAACGAAAATAGAAAAATAGCTAGTCCAAGACATATTAGGTCGCCTTTTCTAAGACATAAAAATGTATTTTTAAAAATGGGATAGTAAAGAAAATAATGAAATGTCATATTTACCTTGTTACGAAGAAATATTTGAAGAGAATATTACACAGTAAATTTTTAACAGTATACTAGAAAATATTTGAGGTTGTTAAATCCGGAGTAAATTTCTTTGCAAATGAAATTCGAAATAGCAAGAATACGAAATAGAATTTGGTATTGTGGGATGGATGGATTTGTGGATTTGAGTTTGAGACTTAACTAGCAGTGTGACCAGAGTTTAATAAGAATCTGCTAGATGTTCATAATTGGCCAATATATTTCTGTCACATTTGATTTCTTCGTTATCTTATCTTTAACTTTTAACTTATTTTGTAAAATCTTTTTAGATTTGTTTTCTTTGTGTTTGTCCTTAATTTTTCTTAAACATTACCTGATGATTACGGACATTATTTCCCCGAAACCTTGAAAAACTATCTCAAAAATTTAAGCCATTTATTTTTCGCTGGGTAACTAATTATTTCGTAACTTAGGGAAATTATATTTAGGTTCTTGAATAGCATAAAAATACCCAAACGACAATTCTGCTTCAATTTCAACAGATATTCACCAGCTACTTATCAATATATGGCGAAGAATACTTTATTATATTAGAATGGACTTTGAAGAAGATTGATTAATGCGAATACAAAAGGTTAAATTGCCTTATTTTTGGGTAAATTTTTACAGTGGTAACACTACACACTCTGTCAGTGCTAGGAAATTGAAATCCTGTCTTGTCAGCCTGACACTTTATGATCGTCTGTTTATGAACTCTTTGGTTTGATCAATACCAGCCAATTGTTATATAATAAATTGTACATGCTAATGGTCACCATGAAAAAGCTTCTCAAAAGCTCGATAAACTATGAGATAGCGAATGTTCGGTTATTTTAACCAGTCGGTTAGAGTTCCAACGTAACTAAGGCACTCCACATCCTCGAAAACTCATTGTATTTCATAGTATTGCTTACTTGCAAATATATCACTGATTTGACGGCATCTTAGCTGCCTCAGGTTGAATTCCGGTTTCTGTGTCCGGACTCCGGATTTACAATCGAATCTCTAATAGTCTAAAATCATTACGTCGTGTTTTAAAAAAAAATATTAATTGGGTATTCAATGGTCATCAAAGTTGAAAAATGAAAATTTGTAACTTTTATTATTTTTCATCATTATATACATTTATAAAAATACTAGCTGTCGCCCGCGACTTTGTCCCTGCGGAATTAAAAAAACATAACTAGTATCCTATGTGTTCTTTCACACTATGTTCAAAACAAATGCGAAATTTCATCGAGATCCGTTCAGCAGTTCTGAAGATACCTTCAAACAAACATCCATGTAAACATTCGCATTTATAATATTAGTAAGACAAGATTTAAAATCTAAAATGTCATTACATCTTTGTAATTTTTTTGTCAAAGCATTTTTGTAATTATTATAAATACAAATATTTAAGTATTTTTATCTTAATCGAAATCTCGTACTTGAAAACGATTTTGTTACGTCAGAGTGTTAGTTTTAGAGATCATTTTGAAAGTGAGGGACTTAATAACAGATGCCCATACTTCGGTACTTTGAACAATTACCAACATTGATCCGTATTCCTTTCTACTTTTTGTTTCGCTGAAAGTCTTCCGTATGGTATCATATAAAATGTATCAATACTGGGCGATTTGTATCATACTTCTTTTTGTAACACACCAAACAACTACAAACAAGATGTGTCTTAAAATCGTGGTAAGTTTTTTTTTAATTACAAAAAAAGTTAGATGGTTAGCCGTCTACTATGCCAATACCAAAACCATAGATTCAATCCCGAAAGGAGTTTTACGGAAAAGCTTCAAGTTCCGTTACACCTTAAAAATTCTTATTGTAATTCTTATTGTATCTAAAAAAGTGTTATTTAATTTTGTAGATAATTGCTGGTCTAATAGCCGTAGCATCTGCTACCGAGATGGCGGACAAGAGAAGTGCGTCCTGGGACTTAGTCACCTCGTCCGGATGGAACCCAGCCAGTGGTGGCAACGGAATACCCGCCACGCTGGTCATAAATAGCGGCGGCAACGGTAATTATATTCATAAACAGACTAGCTGTCGCTTGCGCGAATATAATTCGTAATAGATCTAGCATATATATTTTCTTAGGAGCTATGATCTGACTGGTCATCACGCGCATAATTTTTCTTCATATTTTAGGTGGTTGGTCATCCGACTCCAGTAGCGAAGTGGCGGGCGCGGTGGCGGCGGCTAAGGCTGCAGCTGGCGCGGTGAGGGCGGCGCAACAGCAGGTAGCAGCTGCCAAGCATGCCGCGTTGCACCAGCAGGAACTTGCTGGCGCCAAGGAGGCAGCAGCTGCGCATGCCGCGCATAAAAGGTACAATCGAATTACCTTCCCTTAGTACCTAGATCCGGTTTCATGTCACTATTAGAAGAATTGAAATAGTCGTCGCCATTCTATTTTAAAAGCGGGATAGTAAAGATAATACTTTCCTTCTTACGAATAAAACATACAGACGAATTGATAACCTCCTTCTTTTTGAGTCGGCTAAAAACTTAAAGAGGTATTAACTATATAAGGAAAATAAAGTAAGTGATTAGCGGGGTTGACTAAGTTTTAGTTTTTACGCCTAGTTACCTATATTTATTGATTTTAAACTAAAACGTTAATATTACTATAAGCCACACAAGCGTTCATCCGGCAGATAGTCATCCGCTGGATGATCGTCAGCAACTGGCCATTAAAAGACGTAGTAGCACAATACAGTATACGTATAATTCTTTTCAAATATTTTGGCGGCTCAGGGTCTTGGGAGCGCTGCTCAATGTATGTATCCTATATCCCGCTATGCCATAGTACACTTAAAATTGTGTTCTGCGCAGCGACTGGCGCATGTTAATAGTTGGCAAAATATCTGAATACTACTATATGTTATTCAAACCTCTGCGCAAACTCGCCCCCACCTCCAGATTCACGACTCGGAGCAATTTGCTTTAACGTTCAGTAGCGCGGCGTAAACCGCTGCAGTGGGCTGTCTGCTCCCCTGCACCGATTTACGTCCAACAATAACTCATATAACATTCATATAACACTGCAACTGGACAGTGTCTATACATAAAAAAATTATAAGATACATTATTACAGAGGGTGTTTACCAACACAAATTAAAGTGTTTTTTATTTAATAATTTTCGTCTATTTGTCGAGATGTCTGTAAGTTTGTGCCCTCAAAACATAAAAACGGCTTAACCGATTTGGATGCCGTTTTCATTTTTGGATTCATTTAAATTTCCCTTAAAATATAGTATCTGTTTAATTTCAATCGGCGCATAAATGAAAATGTTATGTCAATTGAAATGGATAGCTTCGAAAATTTTATTACCAATGACACTACTACTACAAATGAATAAAAAGTAACAGTGGTTTAGCTATAAATCTTAAAGTCTGAAACTAACAATAATATTTGGTCTCACACCTATTCTTTTAATGCATTAGCGAGGAAGCATCAAGACGAGCACGTGCGCGTGCGCTTGAAGCCGCGCAGTCCGCAGTGCATGCGCAGGCGCGTCTCGCAGCGGCCAAGGCCCGCGCCGCAGCTGCGCAGAGGATCGCCGCCGCAAGGGAGGCGGAGGCGGCCAAAGCTATACAACAAGCCGCTCACACACAAGCTGCTAGGCTTCAGAACGCTGGTATGATTTGCTAGTGTAGAAAAGTAGCAAACGATAAATTGTGTATCATCATAAGCATCTCCACTGAGGAGCTCGGAGCCTAACTCTATGGGTTCAAACACGCTGGCCCAGTGCGGGTTGGTTGACTTTAGACATATCTTTGAATTGTTTCACAAATGTACAGATGTAAAACGAAAAACACATTAGTACATGGCGGAATTCGAACCCAGGACCTACAGATTACAAGTCAAGTGCTTAACACCTGAGCCACCGACGCCCTCTAAGCAGTACTTAGTTTTAACAGTGGTAGAGTCCGCATCCAGCATTTGCTGGTTGCACGAATGGCCCGCTCGCCCGGTGAAATACCACGACCGCACGAAGACAGGCGTGAAGTGGAAGAAATTCCGCGTTTCGTCCTGATGAGTGTGTGCGGACACTTCTTTCCTACACTACCCCGGGTACAAGCTCGAACACCGCTTTTTACCACGGGCTAGGGTGTGCGTGTACGTCCGTGAGGATATCTGTTCTCGTCGCCTCGACCATCTTGAAGGCCGGGACCTATCCGTTTTATGGCTGCGCGTAGATAGCGATGATCATCCGCGAGTCTACGCGTGCCTTTATAGGTCCCATGGCGGAAATACCGATACAGACCAACGCATGGAGCTAGTCCAAATGGGCACAGATTCCGTGTTTTAGCAGATCCCTTCTGCTGTAGTCGTGGTACTTGGTGATTTTAATGCCCATCATGCCGAATGGCTCACGTACATCGGATCACGCGGGGAGGTCTGTTCATGACTTTGCCTTAGCATATGATCTAACACAGCTGGTTACCTCGCCTACGCGAATCCCAGATGTTGTTGATCATTTACCTTCCCTGTTGGACCTTCTGCTGACCACGCATCCGGACAGCTATTTGGTTTCCGTCGACGCCCCTTTAGGGTCGTCGGACCACTGCCTGATCCGGACAACAGTGCCAATCTCCAGACGTTTTCGGTCACAACCGATTGGTCTTCGTCGAGTTTGGCACTACAGGTCAGCAGATTAGGATAGGATGCGGTCCTTCTATGCATCCTACCCATGGGGGCAGGTTTGCTTCAATCTGGACAATCCCGACGCCGTTGCTGACTATATCGCCGATGTGGTACTCCAGGGGATGGAACTTTTTGTCCCATCAACTATGGTGCCCAGCGGTGGTAGATCTCGGCCTTGGTTCGGTCGTTCTTACAAGTTATCTTTACGCTACAAGCGAGAATGTTACCGTGCCTGGGCCGAAGCGTCGGCAGCGGGGGACCAAAACTCCAGCGCGCTTAAAATGAAGTACAACTCTGCCTCCAGGTCCTTCAAAAGAGTAATTGCAAGGGCAAAGTCCGAACACGTGGCCAGCATTGGCGAGAAGCTAGTGCGCCTTCCTTCCGGAACTCGCGCGTTCTGGTCTCTCGCCAAGGCTGTCCAAGGAAATTTCTGTCGCCCATCGCTACCATCTTTGCGCAGGGAGGACGACTCGTTGGCCCATACTGCTAAAGAGAAAGCCGATCTTCTGGTATCCCTCTTTGCATCTAACTCGACACTGGATGACACAGGTTATTCACCGCCGAAAATCCCTGGCGGTGAGACCTCTATGTCGGAGATCCAGTTCATCCAGAGATCAGTCCGTAAGGCGCTGCTATCTCTGGATGTCAACAAGTCGAGTGGGCCCGACGGTATTCCACCTCTTGTGCTAAGGACATGTGCTCCTGAGTTGGCACCGGTCTTGACGCGTCTTTTCACCCGATCCCTAAAAAAGGATTAGCGATCGCCAGTACGGATTCCGTCAACGTCGCTCAGCTAGTGATCTTTTAGTGTACCTCACTCACAGATGGGCGGAGGCAATAGAGAACAAAGGGGAGGCCCTGGCGGTAAGTTTGGACGTAGCGAAAGCCTTCGATCGGGTGTTGCATAAAAGGCTTCTTTCGAAGCTCTCTTCCTACGGGCTTCCCGAGAAACTATTGGCCTGGATTACTAGCTTTTTGGAGGGTCGTAGCATCAGGGTCGTTGTTGACGGTGCATGCTCAGACCCTAAACCAATTAATGCTGGTGTCCCCCAGGGCTGTGTACTGTCGCCCACTCTCTTTCTTCTGCAAATCAATAACTTGTTACATCATAGTAACGTCCATTGTTATGCAGACGTTAGTACGGGTGACGCTTTGTACACGGCCCGAGATAATGTTTCTCGGGATAGCGTGTTCGAGTACCGGAACAAACTTGTGTCTGAAATTGAGACCCTTTTGGGTAATGTCTCAGATTGGGGGCGACAAAACCTTGTTGAATTCAACCCCAAAAGACACAAGTTTGCGCGTTTTCCGTCAAAAAAGAACCCTTTGTCGCTAACCTCAACTTTGAGAGCACTCCCCTGGTTGCCACAGCCAGCATTGGTATCCTCGGCTTTGACATATCGAGTGACGTCCAATTCCATGGTCGTTTGAAAGGGAAGGCTAAGCTGGCCTCTAAAAAGCTTGGTGTCCTAGGGAGAGCGAAAAAGTATTTCACGCCAGCCCATCGCTTACAGTTGTACAAGGCGCAGGTTCGGCCACATATGGAATACTGCTCACATCTCTGGGCCGGAGCTCCTAAATACCAGGTTCTTCCTTTCGACCGAGTGCAACGTCGTGCCACTCGAATCGTCAACGACCGAGATCTTACCAATGGGCTTGACACACTGGCTCTGCGAAGGGATGTCAGTTCCCTTTGCATCTTCTACCGGATTTACCACGGGGAGAGTTCCGAAGAATTGTTTGGAACCATACCTGCCGCTGAGTTCCGTCATCGTACGAGTCGACAGAGCGCCAAATTCCATCCTTTCCATCTCGATGGCTGGCATTCCACAACGACGAGATTTTCGCGTAACTTTTTACCTCGCACAGCCGCGTTGTGGAACACCCTGTCCTCAGCGGTATTTCCAAACAGTTACGACTTAGGGACCTTCAAGAAAAGAGCGTACACCTTCCTTAAAGGCCGGCAACGCATCTGCGGTTCCTCTGGCGTTGTGGATGTCCATGGGCGTCGGATCAAATAATATTAGGCGATTCGTTGCTCGTTTGCCCCCTTCTCCTATAAAAAAGTACCATATTATAAATATTATCTTCCTTCCTAGATATAGAATCACTGAAATTGTCAGTGCTACAAAGTTCAGGGGCCGCGGGCGCAGCCGGCGCAGCGCAGCACGCAGCGACATCAGCCGCCGCGGCCTTACGTCCTGATAACCAAGGCTGGAACCCACAGGGTTGGCAGCCTAGTGCCAACTCCTGGGACTGGTGAAATGATACAACGAAGAATACAACGAATTAATAATATAATTTTAATTACTTAAGCTCTTATTTGAAAAACGTATTTTTTTATGTATTTTCTTATATTATTTGTGTTTTATACCAAGTAAGTAATGTTAATATGTTTAAAAATGTTTACAACATAGAAACCTCAAATAAATAATATTTTATGAGAATTTTTGTATTATATCTTTTAAAATATTATTGTCTATCAAATGTTATTTTTTATTGTATACTAATATCATAATTTTTAATAAATTGCTTAAAAATATCTTTTGTTTAAATATTAAACCTGCTTTTTAAAAAAATGCGTGATTAATTACTACATTTTTCCTTAAAAACAAAAAAATGTTCTAATAAACATTGCAATTTCTACAAAAAATCACATATAAAATACATTATCCATACATACTTTCGCATTTTATTCTAATTTCAACTTCAATCGATTAGTTCCCAGCGCGACTGCGCGGTCTCTATGGCGACCCGAGATGAAAGCTCCATCTGGCGTTGACGTGCAGCATCCAAAATATTATCCTTATGTAACACGCCTTTAATTTTAACATGTGAAAACAAAATAATGTGAGTGCAATTGAAATTAAAAATCAAACAAGTGAGTAGTTTATAGTCCATAAGAAATAATTAGCAATGATTTAATAGTGAAACTTAGCTATTTAGTTAAATTAGGCATAAGATATATGATTTTTTTAGGAGGTATCGTATAATTACGTACAATTATTCTAAAAAAACTATTGTTTTGCGATAACGTAGTAACATTGTTCGTTCTATCAGTCATATTTTCTTGTAAGTTTTCAAAAAATATCGCCTAAAATCAAATTCAAATTATAATAACAAGCAATAATTTAACATCTATCGTATCTTCAAAATATTAATTATTAATTAATATTCATTTTATTAGGATGTGGTGCCGTCTATTACTCGTTTTCATTTGGAGCAGTTATTTTACTAACGCTGAAATAGACCGACGCCGTTTCTCAAACCCGACCTATTACAATGTAGGAGGGGTCCTGTCTAGTAACGAGTCAATTGCATTCTTCAAGGACACAATATCCGTAAGTATTTGAAGTAATTTAAACTCAATTTCCATGAAGCGATTAGTCGCATGACTCCAGCGCGTAGCTACCTTGTCTACTGACGCGACTGTTATATAAATAAAGAGGAAAAAGCCACTTAGCCGCATTAGATTAGCATCACACACCTTTATTCTTGAATAGTGTAAAGTTTTTTTTTATTCTTAGGACCTTTTTAAGTATAATTATGTATTTCAGAATCTTAATTTCAAAGACAAGTATGTTCCGCGCGGCGTTACATATCACGACTACTCAATTTTGATGGACCCTAATCCTATAAAGACGGCTCTTAACGTTTGCAAGGATTTAATCGGACATCGAGTAAGTAAAGCTCCGTTTTAATAACAATTTCTTTTAAGAAAAAGTTAATTTAATTTCATTGTTTTACCACTGATGTTCCTCATATTTCCTATGTGATGACAGTGAAAACTCACTCATATAAATGATATTTGTTTACTTATTCTACGTTTTAATTTGGAACAACATCGAATGGACATAAGTGTAGGATTCCACTGTTACGACATTTCAATAATAAATGATTTATCAAAGAAAATGAAAGGAATGTTACGACAATGAAGTACTACGGTAGAACTTTCTAGCATTCATAGTTTAATTTCCTTTCTCAGGTGTACGCAGTGATTGTCTCCCATCCGCTTACCGGTGAGCTCTCTCCAGCTGCGGTATCGTATACGAGCGGGTTCTATCATATACCGGTTATTGGTATATCGTCCAGAGACTCTGCGTTCTCGGATAAGAACATTCACGTGTCCTTCCTACGTACTGTCCCACCTTATTCTCATCAGGCAGATGTCTGGGTGGATGTGTTGAAGCATTTTAATTATATGAAAGTTATAATAATACATAGTTCGGATACGGATGGCAGAGCTATACTTGGCAGGTATGGAAATATGTGAAGAATACTTAGGACTGTAAACTAAACTAGATGTGGAACGCGACTATGTGTTCTTCCAGACTATGTTCTACATGTATGCCAAATTTCAGTGAGATCCGTGCAGTCGTTGACGAGATAAATTCAAACAAACGTCCATCCATCCAAACATTCACATTTATAATATTAGTAAGATAAGATGCTAAGAAGTAAGATATTAGTAAGATAAATATTTCTTCTTACTAATATTATAAAAGCGTAAAATGTTTGGGTGGATAGATGTATGGATGTTTGTTACAAAGTAACTCCAGAACGGCTACATGGATCTCACTGTAATTTGGCATAGATGTAGAACATAATGTGGAAGAACATATAGTCAACTAAATAAGTTTTTCTTTTATTCCGCACTAACGGTGTCGCGGACGACATCTAGTATACAGTAATTTTCATGTAATCTGTGGTATCTGTGGGACTTAATTTCACTTTTTTTACTATTTCTATATTTTTGTTCATAGATTTCAAACAACATCACAGAGTATTGACGAGGATGTAGACAGAAAAGTGGTAGTGGAACAGGTGATAGAATTTGAACCTGGTCTTGACGCGTTCAGTGATCGTCTTATCGACGCCAAGAGTGCACAGGCCAGGGTCTTTCTCATGTACGCCAGGTAAGCATTAAGTATTATAGCAATAAAGTATAATCGTATAAGAGTAGGTCGCAAACGAGCAACGGGACACCGAGGACATCGACGCTCATGGACATCTGCGAGACCAGAGGAACCGCACATGCGTTGCCGGCCTTTGAGACGGTGATACGCTTCAAAGGCGAGCTGCGATTCATAATTCATAATTTGTCAGAGAATAGACAAACTTATCAACATCTACTTTCCATCTGTTTTATTATATAGATAAAACTTTAAGTTATATTACGCTTTGCTCATTTATATGTTGTAGCCATAAATTGATCATTTTAGTCTTTGATAGAATCGACGCCGAAATAAAGTAATTTTAATTTGCAGTAAAACTGATGCCGAGATAATATTCCGAGACGCGACCTACCTGAACATGACGACTACGGGTTACGTGTGGATGGTGACGGAGCAGGCGCTGGACGCCGCCAACGCGCCCGAGGGTCTCCTCGGCCTTCGCCTTGTCAATGCCACGAACGAACACGCACATATACAAGACTCAATGTGAGTAGATTTCGAGAAATCTGTGTCTTAAACTATTAACATTCAGGACTGACAAATAAAAACATATTTATAAAAAAGTTGCAAGAATAGGCTTTTTAGTAGCTGATATTTCGACGCAGTGGCATGCGTAATGCAGGATGAATGAAGTAATGCGGTAGGTTTGAATAAAGTTAACATATCGAACTACCTTCTCTCTGATTCTGCGTCTATGACCACTTCTATTGCAGAAATTCTCACAATGCATTAAGGCTTTTACCGTAGTAATTTCAAAAGTTAAAATGTTAAAAGTAAAACTTCCTAAATAACCAAAACCTCTTTCTAGCTACGTACTAGCTTCGGCAATACGCGATATGAACAAATCAGAGGAAATCCACGCGCCACCGTCAGATTGTGACAATTCTGGTTCTATTTGGACAACTGGGCGGTTGCTGTTCGACTACATACGACGTCAAAGCTTAGAGAATGGCGCAACTGGTCACGTGGCGTTTGACGACCATGGTGATAGAGTGCACGCGGAATATGATATGGTAAATGTACGCGCGCAAGGAGAGCATGTAGCTGTAGGCAAATATTTCTATTCTAAGGTAAGCTAGCTTTACAAATATATGTCGTAATTAAATACCAATAAGGTCTAATTTTTCAACACGGATTTTTTTACCGGAAAGTAGATTATTGCTTATCAATTTTTGTACAGGACACACAAAAGATGCGACTCGAACTAAAAGAACACGAGATTATTTGGATGGGACGAAGCTCGTCGAAACCGGAAGGTTTTATGATACCCACCCACCTTAAGGTAAAACACTAATGAATACCACAATAAACACAAACACTGCCGCCAAAGTATACCGGAATCAAAACAACTCAACACGAAATACTTGAAAGAGAACGTAGACTTTGCGTCACATTAGATTCGGTTACATGCAACTAATTTGTTCGAAAGTAAATCCATATCAACATGAGGTTCGATTTTTAAAAGCAAAAACTAAAGAACGTATTAATTAATTAATTATGCTTTTGTTCAGGTACTAACAATAGAAGAGAAACCATTCGTGTACGCGCGTCGTGTCGACTATGAGGGGGACTGTACCCCAGAGGAAATACCTTGCCCGCATTACAATACCAGTGATGATATTGGTATGTAATAACCGTGAGATTACACTGACGTAAAGCAAACTTACAGTTTGATATATAAACATTTTATCAACAGACCGTATGTACTGCTGTAAGGGTTTCTGCATGGATTTATTGCGCTATCTCTCCAAAGCAATTAACTTCACCTACTCATTAGCACTGTCTCCTGACGGACAGTTTGGAAATTATATAATACGGAACCTATCCGTGCCTGGAGCTAAGAAGGAATGGACTGGTCTTATTGGTATGTAAAAATGACTGAACGTTACTTGAATGTACTAAATATTTGGAGGGATACATGATACTAGTTGTCGCCCGCGACTCTGTATAATAATTAAAACTTAATTAGTAATTATGTTCTTCCAAGCTATGGTCTATATTTATGCCTAATTTCAGCGAGAAATATGCATCCATTCTGGAGATATTGGTATCTCTCCATGTTTGGACATTCGCATTTATTTTATAAATAAGTAAGATTTTTCGCATAACATTGTTTTAATTGAAGATTGTTACACTTCACACCTTACCATCTTATTGTTTGGATGGATGGATGTTAAATTGAAGATACCTCCAGAACGATTGCATGGATCTCTCTAAAATTTGGCATAGATATAAAACACGGTCTAGGGACACATAGGCTACTAATTAAGTTTTTTTTTAATACCGCGCGGACGCAGTCGCCGGCGACGGCTAGTTATAAAAATAATTATAAAAAAGTTATTACGTTACTAAAGCCTGAAGCAAAGGAATTCCGGACTTTGGAAAATAATTTCCCCTTTCCGTTAAGTTTAACTTCATGCCTCTGCATTTTATTCCTGTAATAAATCTTATTTTGCCGTATCCATTTTTCTTAACCTTTATTTTGTCTAACATTTTAATATGAACAGGTGAATTGGTATATGAACGCGCAGATCTAATCGTCGCTCCGTTAACAATAAATCCTGAACGCGCTGAATTTATAGAGTTCAGTAAACCGTTCAAATATCAAGGTATAACTATTCTGGAGAAGAAGGTAAACTTACCAAATGATTTAATTATAACATAGCTTAGACCTAAATAATTATTTTATTTATAATGACGAGTTATTTTATGACATAAAAACTAGTTTAGTTATAAATTGCAAATAAAAACCGTAAATTTGTATTCGCATTCACTAGTATCTTGCATTGATTTAAAATATGCTAGCAAATAACCATTTTATTTTTATATTTTATAAAAATACACAGAGAACTTTCTCATGGCATATTAGAATCCAAAAACTCTACGTTTTTTCCGAACATCCTGTATATATCGATATTTTTAACCATTGGTCTACAAAAAAAAACTTTTCAGCCATCTCGTTCCTCAACTCTGGTATCATTCTTACAACCATTTTCAAACACACTGTGGATACTAGTGATGGTGTCAGTTCATGTGGTGGCGCTAGTGTTGTACCTGCTCGATAGATTTTCGCCTTTTGGAAGATTCAAACTGGCCAATATAGATGGCACGGAAGAGGACGCATTGAATCTGTCCAGTGCTATATGGTTCGCTTGGGGCGTGCTGCTGAATAGCGGTATTGGTGAAGGTAAGGCTTTAGTTTTGTACGATTTTTAGCCAGGTATTAACAAACATTTGACAACAATCACATTTATCACATAATCATCAGTTTTTTTATCAGTTGTTTTTTTTTCTTGGTTTGAGATATAAAATAAAATATAATTTATGTGTGGCCAGGTACTCCCCGCAGCTTTTCCGCCCGTGTACTTGGCATGGTGTGGGCAGGGTTTGCCATGATCATCGTAGCCTCATACACCGCCAACCTCGCTGCATTTCTCGTGCTCGAGCGTCCTAAGACCAAGCTCACAGGAATTAATGACGCTAGAGTATGTCACTTTTTGAAATTTTTCACCCAAAAACAAAAAATATAATTAAACTCGATCTCTCCATTGCTATTTTTGACAAATGGATTTTAAATTTGTGAGCTTTGAGATATTGAGTTGATTACGATTTCAAGCATCCTGTATAATAGAGCGATGTTTAGTATATATTTTATTTTCTAGTTGCGCAATACAATGGAGAACTTGACATGCGCTACAGTAAAGGGGTCGGCAGTGGATATGTATTTCAGACGACAAGTTGAACTATCAAATATGTACCGTACAATGGAAGCCAACAACTATGATAATGCTGAACAAGCCATACAAGACGTTAAGAATGGGTAAACATATTGTTTATTTAAGAAACTAACTCAATGAATGTTAAGCAATAAATATTCACGTTATTTTTAATTAACATTTTTAAAACAAAACATTTGCACTCAAGTTCAAAGAAAGTTATTAAATTTTAGGTCAGTTTGTAGTTAGTAAAGAAACCTTATTTCTTTTGTAGTAAGCTAATGGCATTCATCTGGGACTCTTCGCGGCTCGAGTTTGAGGCGGCTCAAGACTGTGAGCTGGTGACAGCGGGCGAGCTGTTTGGCCGCTCCGGCTACGGCGTAGGGTTGCAGAAGGGCTCGCCCTGGGCGGACCTAGTTACACTCGCCATACTCGACTTTCATGAAAGTAAGTCTTATGACCTTGGAATAGAGTTGATAATTAAACGCTCTTTTATAAGATCTTGAGGACTATAATCGTGATTGTGATTACAGGTGGCATCATGGAATCTTTGGACAACCAATGGATCTTACGAAACAATATGCTCAACTGCGAGGAAAACGAGAAAACACCGAATACGTTGGGTTTGAAAAACATGGCGGGCGTGTTCATACTCGTATTGGCGGGAATTATCGGCGGGATTGTGCTGATAGTCATTGAGGTGGTTTACAAACGTCATCAGATACGGAAACAGAAGAGGATGGAGATAGCGCGCCACGCCGCCGACAGATGGCGCGGCGCAATAGAGGTAAACCGCGCGAACTTCGCAGCAAACAACCACGTCGCCCACAAACCGCAAATCGAGACCAAAATGTAAAACTAATGATCCCCTTGAACATTGTTAACGACCAATATTGCCATATAAAAAATAATTTTATTTTAGCTTCTATACAAAATAAACGCGTTGCAATTTGTTTGTAGCTTTTCGATTTCTCTCATACTAAGCTCTCCCCGCTGCGACGTGAAGTTGTAAGTAGTATACATATTTACAACTCGATTACTCTGAGTATACAACTCTTGGGATAACGTCATCTCCCACCAAAATTGAAAGAAATTTGTTTTTTTCCACCGTACTGCACTATTATGACGTCATCCAAGCGATGCATACTCGAAGTACTCGGGTTGTATACATTTATGAACACAGTACATTGTAATAACTCTGACATTTATTACAGAAACGCAAGTCACTCCGTGCATCGATACTGCCGTCTCAACGACGCGCCAAGTCTAACGGGGTCAAGGAAGCAGGCAGCATTAGCCTGGCGGTGGACAGAGGCGTCAGGAGACGAGATGAACCACGTATACCAAGATATCTGCCCGCTTATACGCCTGACGTATCACATCTTGTAGTTTGAACGCGATTATGCCTACAAATACAAAACTATTATTTTTGACAGCCGTGACATTTATCTTGACACGTATTGTTGTCTTTGTTTATTCAAAGACAATGTAAGGGATGACAATATCTCTCAATACAGTGGAAATCCATAACAATACCAAAATTTGAACAGAACCGTACCTAAAATTATACAATCGCTTGCTGTACTTCTTATCAATTTAAATATTACGCACCTAGCAGTTTGGACGCGACTGTACGATTATAGTACCAAAATTTCAAAGGAAATTTACCTAATTTATAGTATCACTTACTGTTATTTCAATGTGTCGCATTTAGTAGTTTGAACATGACTGTAGTTACAGTACTAATGTAGTTACTTCACGATGCAGCGTTTTTCAATTACAGACGAAACGCATCAAGATAGCCCTTTTGGTTTGAATCGTAGTATACTAAAACTTACTTTTACTCCTTTTTAAATTCTTTCTTCTTTTTTAAATTTTTAGTGAGCCACTCTGGTTTATTGCAAAATGTTACCATTGATTACAAATCTGCCCATTTATTAGTTTTTAATTTTGTAACTAATAAAAATTAAATGTTCACTTAAATATAAATCATACTAGAAATAAGGCTGTGACTTACAAGTAGATGTAACAAAAAATATTAAAAAATATAAAAACGTATTATTCACGTAATTACTGTTTTAGTGGCACTATATGTGTTGTATGTCGTTACTATAACAAGGCTATAAAATACTAAGTAAGCTATAAAAGTATTAACTATCTTACCGTTGGTTTCTAAGACCAAAATTTTCTGGTATAAAACATACCCCTCCCATTAACTTTCACAAAACAGAGATAACTATGTTTTACGATTTCGGTCTCAGAAACCCACGGTTAGACGTTATCTCTATGTGTAATAATTAAAGTGAAATATAAATGTTTGTACAAATACGTTTCAATTAAGAATGTGCGTGATAATAACCTAGAAATTAGAACTGTCAAAAAATCGATTTAATTATAATACTTTTTGAACTTGTCGATTCAGATAAAATCTTCGTCCCGGAGGCCTAATTTAGTATTCCTTCCCTTCCCATAATTTTTCTTATAAGGAAAGGATAGGAAGTAGAAGTGGACTTTCCAGATGTGAGGATGCAAGGGAAGGGAAGATATTCTTTGTGTGCATCCTCTCCTCCGTCGATTAAAGGTAGGCAACGCATATGCAAAAGCGTGTATTTTATATACTCTTTGATGTCTATGGGCAACGGTCACTTCGCTATTTCAGCGATTTCAGGTGACCGCTCGTTCGTTTGCCATCTTATGATATAAAATAAAAAAAAACCTTAATTTTCTGACCCCACTTTTTATTGAGAGCTATGACGTCACAATGTAAGGTTCATGCACATTTTTATTTCAAACTTATTTTAGTTATTTAGAATATCTTATAAAAACTAATATTGAATTTATGATGTATGTGAAGGTTTTGTGAAAAATAAACAAGCAATCTCTGCCTACCCTTATTGATAAAGAGCTTAAATATATTTTAATCAAAATAGTATTTGTGTTAAAACAAAAACCCTCAAATATTTTCTGTTATCATAAAGTTTAAAATAATTTATTTTGTTGTATATATTTATTAATTTTATGATGTTTGTATGTTTAAGATTGTAAAATTTCATATTAAATGTATTTGTAGGTAAATAATAAAAAAAAAAAAACCCTATATTATTAGTGTGTAAAAAACTTTCATGTCTTAATAGCTGTCAACCTGGCAACTATGAAAAGATAAGTATACCAAAATGAAACAGATAATCCAAGCCTTGTGTCAAGTACCGGCGTTAGCATAGGGCGTTGTTGGGCGTCCGCCCAGGGCGCTGCACAAGGGCGACACGCGTCTTCGAATTACAGTCTCATATAACCTTAATTCCAACCCCCACACACATACACCCAAAGGCATGATAAAAATGGGGAATAGAAACAGAACCCTGAATCGATGAAACCAGCACTGCCTTGTCTATTGTAACATGGACCATAACTGTCGCAAGTTTTTCGTCTTTTCAAATAAATCGTAGTAACGAGAAGATAAGGTTTTCGAAATAAAACATCATTTCAACACATCTATATATTTACATAAGAATTTTAACAGTGCCATAATGGGGATTGTACATTGTGTTATACATAGCCATTATATAAGCCGCAAGATAGTAATGCCAGGACAAGGAATGTATTCATTGCTGTAAGATGTCAGCTGACTCTACACTCCGCACAGCCAAATCTTTATCTCGATTTGAGTGAACAGAGCATAGGATGCTGCAGTCATTCTAAAATCTTACAACACAAAATAATTCCTTTAAAACGCCATCAGAAATCTATTTCATAACTGGAAGATTTGATTAAATTTTAAATACACATTTTATATAGTGCTAAAACATTAGGTAACATTTATATATTGAAACATTATAGTATATAATGACAATTTTTATGAATATAACCTATACTACTACCCCTTTAAGTATATAGGGGTCTACACGAATGAATTGTATTAATTAAAATATTTTAAATATTAAATATATGATATTAAAAGGCGAAACTAATGTACTGTAGGATATTTCGAGTGTAAAGTGGGCGAAGAACCAGGTCAGATAACTTGCATGTTCACACATTTACAGTTTTAAATACATAACTCAATAGTTCATTCATTAATATAGCTAAAAAGAGCGATAAAATTGTACGCATTTTATATATAATTAGGCAAAAGGAAAAAACACTTAGTAGTATTTAATGTCTACTATAAGTTTAAATAGTTAGGGAAAGTTTGCACCTTAGTCGGTGAATTTACGGTTAGGGTTGCGACCGAAGAGCGCGGTACGGATCTCCGGCAGCAGCTGCTGGGCGATCAGCTCCAGCCGCGACTCCAGGGTGTTGCAAATCTACATCACATTAATAATATATAAATAATAATTTTGTCAGCGACTTAAAAATATAACCTTCCTTAGACAATAAAGCACCTTTTCAGTTAAGCAAAATTTTCTAGTAGCACTACACTAATTCGATTAAAATTACAGAAAGATTATATTTCATTTTGTGTAAATTATCAACAAAATATGTAGTGTATATATACTTCTATGTAAATATATAAAGAGAGATTTGATTGTTTGTTTGTCTGCATTGAAAATGCTCTGAAACTAATAAACCAATTTGAAAAATTCTTTCATTATTTGGAAGCTAAATTATCTCCAGGTAACATAGGCTATGTTTATAACTATATTTCTTTTTAATCCCGCGCAAATGAAGTCACAGGCAATTGGTAGTTATTACATTAATAGCTAATTTCGTAAGATGAAATCATGTAAATTTGCTCAAAACTTTAAAATAATATTCATAACATTAATATATTAAATTCATAAAATATTAGAAGATTATAAAAAAAATATTTCAAAGTTAAAAAGGACATACCTTGATGCGTCCCTTAGCGGCTATGAGCTCAATGCCACCGCAGGTTTCAGCGGGCAGATAGTTCTCCGTGTCGATCTTGAGCTGCACATCCTTCTTGATCTTCTCCTTGTAATCACTCTGAGCACGGCCAAGGATGGACTCAACCACGGCCTTGTCAGCCTGCCTGACTCGCAGCGTCACGGTCGGTTCAACCAGCTGCAAAAATATAATGAGTCTTACTATTTAATTATCACTTTAAAAAAAAAGCCAACAAACTATCATTGTGGCAGCGATGAGAAGAATGTCAAATATGTTCACACCCGTGCAAATATGTTCACCCTCTTAAACTCTTTTTATTGCTCAGCAAACTTACTCCTGTGTCAGCCAGGGAATAAAATATAAATGTCTACAGCCAAAAACTTGTACAAATACAAATCATCTCCACTATTTGCATAGAAATTTGTTCATAAATTTTTTAAGTACATAAAGACTCAAAAATCATGAAACAAAATTTCATTAACCAATATGACTTGTGGAGCTTGACCAGTAGATAAGTCTAAAATTACACATTTCACTTACAGTTCAAATCAGAATTAGTAGTGGACATTTCATTAGTAAGGTTTGACTTAACCTGTATAAAAATCTTTCTAGTTTATGGTATACCTGGAACAGAGCCTGCACAATGAGTGTGACGAGCAGGTCTGCGTACATCTTGGAGTCCTTTGGCACCTCGGCCAGGCGCTTACGGGCCTCGTCCAGTACTGTGCGGACATGATCCTCACGCACTTTGAGCACCTTAAGACGGGCCTGGTTCAGCATGTTCGATGAATTGCTGCATAAAAATATTCAAGTCAAATGTTAGCATATTTATGAAAAATAAATACACCACATAGGCACATGTACTTTTTACCATTATTTTAATGTCTTTGATACTTTTTGAAGGAATAAATGTGAAATATCTATAAAACCATGTTACTATGGTTCCATTACACTATCTGACTTAAATCTCCTATCTTAAGTCCACTCATGGCAATCAAGATAAAATAAAAATATCAAATCACATTTATACATCTCTTATACAGTTCTGGATTAGAAAATCTGTGTAAGCAAGAAACCTCTATAAGTGAGAATCTAGTTGCAACAGACAACCTCCATAAGCAAGGGACTAGGAAGATAGAGAATCTACTATGAAAAAAATACTGTGGTCCCTTGGACTCTTTTTTATCACATGTTGATTTAATATAATGGAACTTATTGTGATCTTAGGTTTTGAAACTAAAGAGATAGATATGTTTTTGTTAACATGTGATATTTTTGGGCAGTGTAAACTCAATGCTTAAAACTTATCTATGAACATCTTGAATTAATTAAACAAACAATAATTTGTAACTTTTACATAACTTGTGTTATAGTTATCTGAACAATACATCTTATATGAATTTGCACTATACAGATAAATCCTTTAAATACTGGCAAATAGCCAAAAAATCTCTTTTTTCTATTTGATAAATATGGCAGAAAAGTATAAGTTAACCATTTAAAAATTAATGGGATATAATTTATTGATTATTGAAGTGACAGTAAGTTTAAAAATATCCCATTTAGTCATAAAAGTCCCATTTCTAGTGATTTTTTTTATATTTTGAAAACCTTTTCCTATTAGAAAAAAATGTACTGTTACTTTTAAACAGTATTGTGAATAACAAATTCTACTTAAATATGTGTGGTTAAACAAGAATAACCCTACTTTCATTATTATTTTAACAATTAGATAATCTTCAGTTGAAAATAATCTAATTGTTATAATTTTATGATAGCATAGATTATAGAATGTCACATGCGCCGTATACGCGGTTCTCGAAACAGGTCAAGTTATGCTTTTATATTAAAACCTACATCTTTTTTTGCAGTTCAACTTGCTTCTCCTTCTTCTCGTAGTATTCCATGATCTTCAGTCGCTGTTGCTGCACAAGGCGACCCTTCTCAATGTTGAATTCTTCTTCGGCCTTTGCATCGATTTCTTCGGCCTTTTCATTGGCCTCTTGTTCGATGAAGGCCATCATATGCTTGATCTGGTGAATAAAATGTACAAAAAGCATTAGAATCATTCATTTTTTATGTCAATGTCTGTGCCATAAGTTAATATGGAAAACACAAGAACAGCGACATGGATCAATCATTCTGACAAACTCATGTCTCTATATAAGTCTCAAGGCGTATTTAGTATATAATTTCTTGTTCTTTTATTAAATTACCTGTTTTTGAACATCTGCGTCGCTTAGCGCCATGGCTGATGGTTATTATTTAACACCACTAACACGTAAAACAACCGATGATGAGCCAGAAAATTAAAAACTGGCTCGAAGAAGTATGTCGACGCCTATCAGACGTGCTTCTTCATTGAACAATCATATGATCTTCTGTCTTGCCAGAATCATCCTAAGTTTCTCCCGCATAAAATACCATAGACAAAAATTTTCGTGGCAATTTTTACGAAACTAAAACTCTCTTTCATTTTAATTCCTAATTTTACTTTATTATAATGCAAAAGTCTTTTAAATTAGAAATTAAGATGATTATGAACTTAAGTAAAACACTGTTTTGTTACTGATGAAAGGAAAAAATATTCAGTGGTATGGATATTGAACAAGATAATAAAAAAATTAAAGCATTTATAGAATTGAAAACAAGCTTTTGATTTTTCAAGATTGAATGTGGTAATGTAGCTAACATTTTTACACATATTGTTCGGAAATGTTTATGCAAAGATAAAACGGAGTTGTATTTTAAACAATATTTAGTGCCCGCTTTGTAGGTATACTGAAAAAAGTATTAGAGCATTGTGAAACAAACTAGATATCGAGTTTTCAGAGATTCGAGTTATATTATCCATTTCATTAGGGAATTCAATTAAAGAGGATGGTATAATTATATCCACTATAAAATAATTTAGTGGATTAAAATGAAAAAACGTCATTCAAAAAGTAGCGATACATCTCAAAGTCAAAAGGTTTGTAATTACACCATTGAAATAAATTATTACACTACTCCTATTACTTGATTTTTTTTTCGTTTCTGCACTTTCAATCAGTTTTTTGATTTAAGTAAAATAATTTTTCCTTTTAAAGCACATATAAATTTGAAAGGGTAACTTTATTTCATTGGCCATCAGGAATTTTAGTCAAATAAGTATCCGAATTAAATTGGCAAATCTTAATTAAAATTAAAATATTTTTTTACAAAGTGGATCATGTCTAAAAACCAAAAAGTTATTTAAAAATAAATGTAAATGTGTTCAAAAAGCTGTATTAAGGGAATCGTGTAGGTTGTGAGTGTGATAATTTTTTGGTTTCCGCTTTTATCAATATGGCCGCCAGTTGTTTAGGGTAATGTGGCGTTCGACAAATCTGAGTGAAATTATTAAGATTTATACTACCAACGTAAAGATGCATAAAGTTTTCAGCGTTTTATAGCAGTGTTTCATCAAAAGGCAATATTACGAATATTTTGACTTGAAAATTTTGAATGCATACAAATTGCCTTTGAAACTGAACAGTCAACAAACTTTTGTTTGTTGCATACAAGAGGATTTATTTATTTCTGTTTGGAATATACGATTATGAACCATCCATATTACTTCTGAAATAGTGGTACAAGGGCTGAAGTTGACACTAGGTAAATATTTATACTTTTTAAATGGGACGTGAAATTAGAACATCTTCCAGAGTCGCCATTATTGACAGATGGGAACTGATAAATAACCATCTTAATCTACGTATATGTAATTGTTATTATTGACGACCTATGTTGTCCATCGCAACAAGATATTTCGTCCACTTATAATCTTATTGACATCCAAGAAAGATTTATTTGGCTAAACTAATAAGTTTCATTGTTATTATACAAATTAAAATGTTTCTAAACAAATACTTGGTACTATTAAGGTCAACACGAAAGTTTCGTGGCCTGTTTTCCTGTAAGGAAACCACATTTGGTTGATAATTTATAATTTTATTAACTTTTGTTTGATTTAAATCTGTGACCTTTTTCAAGAAAAATCAGAAAACTAATGAGAAAGTTAAAAAATACTTAACTAATTCAACTATAAGGGTATTAATGACTTGAAGTCTTGAATTTATTTACGTTAAAGTGCTTTTAATGACACAAATAGTGACCCCATTAACTATCTACTACATTGTAATAAATACTAAATAAAGTTCACTATAGTATTTATTAAAATGATTAATTTAATATTAAACTTTTTTTAATGATTTTAGACTTATAATTACTTATTTATTGTATATGCATGCAATATGCATTAAAGTAGAGTATTATTCAGTATAGTATTTGACCTCAATACTTTTGTACCGAGATAGCAATTATTTTCTTTATTTGCATATTTCCTATAGATCTAATAAGTTGGATTATATAGTGTATTTTGGTATAGATTATTTTCTTTTAATTGATAATTATTTTGTTAATTTTTAGAAGACACTGAATCTTATATGATTACTTATACACTTATATACTTATAAAAATGTATGGAAAAGTATGGACATACTGTGCAGACCCTTCATAATGATAGGCACAGGAAGTGGATTGTGAATTTTTCTTTTAATTTTCAGGTTATGGCAAACTTGAACTTCCAGCAAGCACCTAGAAGCCTAGCAAGTGGTGTAGGTGGTGTCAGTGTGGGTGGCAGAGTGACATCGGGCCTGGTGAGCGGAGTCTCGGGCCATGTGACACCGACCTTCGGCGGGGCGCTGTCGCCCGGCCGAAACTCCACAGCGATGCCGGGGGGCGCGCCACCCGCTATGGCCTCAAGGTCAACATTATTCGGTCAACGAGCCTTTGCGGATAGAAGAGTACCAATTCCAACACCTTTATCACAAGCTAATTCTAATTCTATGGTTAGTATTAAATTTTATATAAACTTAAGTATAACTTAGTTATTTAAATGATTAAAGGATGGTATCCATTTTTTATACTCATTCTTAATGTAATTTTTATTATAACGCTGTTCAGATTGAGTATAGTGAATATTAATAAGTTCAGCATCACCAACTTACCTGATAAGCTGATTTAATCTCAGAGGTTGACTTACACAGTGCATTTTCATTTTTTTAGTTTGAATCCAGCATTGCTTTAAATGTAGACATTTCAATGAACAAAATTATTTGTTGTACAGTCAAGTATGGGTAATCTATCGAGGTTCAACACGAGCAGTAACTATCATTCGGTGTTCGGCGAGGGCGGGGACACGTCAACGCCGCCCCTACTCGACCTCAGCGAGTTCCCCTCGCTGACGGCGCGCGGCGCGGGGGACCAGGCGCCTGCCGCCGCGCCGCCCCCGCCCGGCTCCAAACCCTACGGTCAGTGCATTTGTCTCCATTTGTGTTATACAATAGTTATAGATGTTCCTTAACTTACTAACATTATATATTATATAAATTCGAAAGGTTTTATGTATGGATGGTAGTTTGTTACAAGGTTAAATGGATCTTGCTGAAATTTATCATAGATGTAGAACAGTGTGAAAAAGCACAGGCTACCTATAAACTTTTTTTTAATCATGGTAGATGGATGTAAATGATCTGGACAATAATAATGGATCTTCGCAAGTATGTGCATAAGTTTAAAACTCTATGGTCAGTACACTGCTGACACTATTAAAAATGCATAAGTTACAAATATGAGGAGGGATAGAGTAGAGATGACATGATATACTATAAAACCTCTAACACATTTGATCTCTGGCCATGGTATTTCCCCAGTTAATCATTAACACTATTACTTTAAAACTTAACCACTGTGTGTAGTTGCATTCAACATTTATGTAAGGCCATTGATTTATTCATTTTAGACTTTACAATTTACTTACTATCTGTTACTAATATAAATTGTGGCTATTAAATTTCCAGTTGGTATGGTGAAGCAGCCAACGTCCGAGCAATCGGAGTTCACGATGTCGTCGGAGGACTTCCCCGCGCTGCCGGGCACGAGCACGGGGGGCGCGGCGGTCGTGACGGGCGTGGCCACGGCGGGTGCGGTGGGCGCGACCGTAACGCACGCGCCGCCACCGCAGCCACCCACGCCACAGGCCCTCGACTACGCCAACCACAACGACGTCAAGCCCAGGAAGGGCATTCAGACATCGCCCGATGGTATGTACACACAAATGTTATGCTTCAAATGATGCCACATTGGCGGTGCACATGTATAGCTTCACAATATAAATCAAAATAACTGTCCACGCAGTATGTAAACCCGTTGTTGTCAAACGACGATTTTTGTCGTGCGACATACTATGGGTTTCAAAAAGTGTGTCGGAACGCATTGTCAACGCACCGCCCATGTGGCATCTCTCTTAGACAGCCGATGTCTTTTAAATCACTTTTTTGTTGTACTTTGCATGATCAATGTTTATAAATGTTGGTATCAATTATAGTTATTATTTTTGGTTTTTCATAAATTATTAAATTCATATGTTAAATATTGGATTCATAAAGATCAAATTGGTTCATTATTTTTATGTTTTACAAGGCATTTTTTATTATTTTTTTTAAATTAGTGTTATAAAATTATGTTATTCTGTATGCATGCTCCTTAGTTGTATTAGATGTTTGTAGATTTGAAAGTAATTGTAGTAAATGTGATTGCATATTATATAAATGTCTGAATTGGGTTTTTTCTGTCCCTAAAGTTGTCAGCCAAGGAGCTCATACGGAATATAATGGTGGGTGTATTATATATTACATAAAATTAGGTATCGATTACTTGTAGGTCATTAAAATACGATTTTATTTAAGCATAGATATAGATATGATATGAGACATTGTTGGGTGAATTTGAAAAGTGGTACTGAGGTGGTTATTGATTTTTAGGCAAAGTGACGAATATACCGGAGACGATGATACCAAACCAGTTTGGTATCGTGGGACTGTTGACGTTTATCCGTGCTGCGGAGTCCAACCCCAGCCTGGTCTCGTTAGCTTTAGGTCAGGACTTGACCGCACTCGGCTTGAATTTAAACTCACCCGACAACCTTTACCTTACATTTGCCGGACCCTGGGCGGACACGCCCTGCAGGTAAACTATTTCTATTATAAAGTAATGCATCTGCACTGATATTGCAAGCTCCCAAATGCTCAATACCTTCAAACATGAATATCATTAAAATATTCCTTCGAATGTGGTAACACTACTCAAAATTATAAATTTTCATAATGTTGCCACTGTTAAAATTAACGCACAATATATTCGTCCAGGTGTTAAGTGCTAAAACATATATGTTAGGATAATGCTATGCGTCGCCTCTGCTGCTGTTAATCTCTGGCCGGAGAAAAATGGTACTCCATTTACTTATATCTGTATTAACTATAACCAATTGGCAATTTTTATAATTTTATAAATAATAGAAACAAAATTATGAATTTTATTATACAAGTTGAAGGAATTTGAATACTATAGTTGCTTTTATCATATTTATTTGCTCCTTCACGTGTTGTATTAAAATGGTATGTCAAATTCTTTCACAATTAAAATTCAAATGGTTAATACAATGTAGGAAGTGTAAGTAAAATTATATTTTTTACTTAATGTATAATATAATTGTGTTACGAATATGTAGAAAATTTATCTAAATCTTATTTTTATTAATATAATTTAAATCTGATCGTCGCTTTTTATGTTTGAAGTGATGCAATTATTGGATTTACTGATAAAAATAGGCAAAGAACCTCACTCGTTTTGAGGTAAAACTCATAATAAATTCAAAAACTTAAATAAACGTTGGATTTGGTGTTAATTAGAATATTCGCTATTTACATAATAATAGGAATTTTTGATAATTATTAACGGCAATGCAATTCTTGCTTTGCCGGAGTGAATTACTTCACAACAGAAATAGCCACACTCAGTTTCAAATGTTTTTAATCAGTTGTAAATAAACTGATTGAATTGCTTAATATTTTGAATTAAATCATATAAAAAAGAAAGGTCGACGTAAAATTTTTATAAACTAGTAATTAATGTTAACCATTTTACAGAGTGTCTAACCATATCAAATGTTTCTGTTGCTCAGGCCACAAGATTTGGACTACCATGTGCCCCCCGAATATCTGATAAACGGAGCTATTAGGGAAAAATTGGCACCCCTACGACTGAGTCGATATAAGGAAGATCTATTGTTCTATTTGTTCTACTGCTTCGTGGGCGACGTGCTACAGATCGCAGCGGCGGCAGAATTGTGAGTATATCCAAAAAATATTCCATTTTACGATTATACTATTTTTTATTAATGGTAAAGATTGCAATAATATTTGTTACATTTGTTCACATTGTCAGTGATTGTTGTAACTTACTCACATAGACACAGTGGCCATGTTGTATCTTGTGCACATTGACATTGGTTATTTTATACTTTGTGCACATTGACTATAGTCATGTTATATTTTGAGCACATTTACTATGTTCATATTATATTTGGTGCACATTGACTTTGGTCATGTTATATTGTGTTCACATTAGTATTGGTTGTAATAATTTGAGCACATTGACTTTGGTCATGTTATATTTGGTGCACATTGATATTGGTAATGTGTAGTGTTTAATGCACATTGTTATTGTATGTTGTCAGATACAACCGCGAGTGGCGGTACCACATGGAGGAGAAGGTGTGGATCTCGCAGGCGCCCGGCATGCCCATGGTGGAGAAGACGTCCACGTACGAGCGCGGCACCTACTACTTCTTTGACGCGCATAACTGGCGAAAGGTAAATAATATCGTATCGTACTACGTTATTGGATACAGTGATTAAACCGGAGATTTACAAATATTTTTCTAATAGACCCTGTTCTAAATTTTACTGGTTTCACTGGAACACTGCTTCCACTTTTCTTCTTCAATTTGTTTTCAACTTCTATTACGATCCACGCCTGTTATCGAGAAGGTTAAGCAGAGATTATAGATTTTATTTGTACCATCTATAAGTCCTTTGAGTTGGCTTGAGTGCATATTAATTTTCTCTGATTTATATAGCAAGTTATGTTTGTTGATATGTATTATTTCTGTTTGTGTGTACGCAGGTGGCGAAAGAGTTTCACCTGGATTACAGCAAGCTGGAGGGGCGGCCACAGCTGCCGCAACTGACGCCACAACACCTGCTCACATAGCGCGCCTCCACAACACCTATTGTAGTTTTGTTATATAAAAAGTACAAGTTAAAACAAATAACTTTTATTTTAACCACACCCAAACTATGAAGCTCCCGTATTTAGACTATTCACAGAATGATTGAATACTTAATACCCAACGGAAACACCATACAAAGAAAGGCATCAAACAGATATTGATAAAAAACTAACTAGCCGTAGGTCTTATGAAAATAATGTCATTCCATTACTTTAAGATAAAAAACATATCAATTTCTTTAATAAAGCTAAGAATATGTTTTTATATTGATGTTTTGATTCGCACCTATTAGTTTCATCCGTTCAACGAATTTTATTTACTTTTGAAGAAACAAGAACAGCGAAATAAAACCAGTAATGGTTGTAAGAGAATTTATTAGTGTTGCAGGATATATACACTAAGCATTAGAAATAATTCTCTACATATAAGCGATTTGCACAAATAATAGACCAACATCGATTCTTAGATCTATTTGAGTGAGTACATATTGTCTCTATTTCTCAAAGACAATTTTTTTCTTTTTTATAGGAGAAATTGCCCCCAATTTGAAGGGTGACAAGTGAAAATAATAGTCAAAGATGTCTGAACTGGTGAGAGGCGCTGCTATCGCAGTTGGCTATGGCAGGATATATAAAACCTACTTACCCAGAAAATTACATAAAAGAAAAAAAAATGACATGACAGCTACAGTACGCAAAGGATATTGTCACAAGGGCGCTAGTGAGCTTCTATAATTTAGTTTTTCTGAAGCCCAGCGGCTCAGATAACTTTGCAGTGTATATAAATAAAAAAGCATAATACTGATGTAAGCTAAACGATGATTTTACTAATGAATTTCGAAATCAAACTTAATTTAACACATTTATTATCAATTTAATATGCAATTTTATTATAATTAAATTGGTTATTCAATAAAACTATAACCTGATTATTATACTAAATTATATTAAGATACAATTGAATAAAAAATGTAAGCAAAAAGTGGAATTTTGAAATATTGATGTTAATATAATCTATACTTTTACGTAGGATAAAGTTAAAACATATTAGATATTTTTTATTCTCGCAGTAAAAATATACTGCAGTTGACACTTGTAGATAGTCGAACATGGAAAAGCAGAGCCGGGTTAGAAAGAAAGCTCTATAAACGAGAAAAAGAATACCTTTGAACTCTCACTTATCAAGATTCAACTGTATTGTAGTTTCTATTTTGTCAAAGATAATAAATGTTTATATTATTTTTACAAGTGTCACAGCATTATACAGTTATAAAGCTTGAAACTGATTAAAATCAAATTGTTCTACAATTCAAGAAATTACTAAACTTGACAGGTAACTCTAAATATATTAAACAAAGTTAAATTTATAGTTTCTCTTCTCTAAATATTTATGTGGCATAGTTAAAATTTTCTTAATTCATAGAAAATTAAATTCCATTAATTACTAAAAATCAAAGATCTGTTATCTGGCAAAAATTGTAATTTGCTTTCAAGGATTTATTTCAAATAAACGGAAAAATCATGTTGCTATTATTTACACGGATTATAACCAATCATTGCAGGCGAGCGACACAACGCGACAAGACTTAGACCATTTTTCCACAAGTTGGCAGGTAGTATGCAACTTCTACACATTAGTGGAAACAGGCTTTAAATGCGCGATTAAGATTTTCGTGTCGCAATGTGTCGATCACATACAACCGGTGATAGCGAACAAAAATGTGGTTAGTAACCTCAGTCTACATCGTCAGTGACCGATGGGGTTCCCGAAGGTTCTTCCACCTTCTCCTTCATTCTCCCCTCGCCTTCCTCGTCTTTCTTCTGCGGCACCCAGAGACCGGCATCGACGCACCTCTTCATGAAGTACACTGCCTCTTGTTCCGGCATTTTGGCGATTGTCTCCTGCAGCAGCGGCACGTCCTGCGCGTCGAAGCATTTTTTCAGCTCCTAAAATGACAACAGAAACATTAATCTATGATATTTTGGATTTTTATTTTGTCAATTTTCGATATTTAAAATGTTTGATTAACATTTTCCATACATTGAAATGTTATTGACAACCAAAAAACAATTAATATAACACTTCAATTTGGATCTGGCACCTTATATAATAATAAAATTTATCTGTTAATAACATATGTTTTCTGGGTTGTCCAAAGTCCAAAGTAAAAATTATTCAAACTTTCGTGAGATATAATCATAAACTTATATAAAAACGGCTGAAACAAACAGCAACATCACGCTTTAGTATCAACATCGTCAACAACGCCGTCGCCTTAGCGTTTTCATATAAGTTTCCGAGGTAAAAATGTTAACACTTACATCAGGCAGTTCCTCATAAACTTCGACAGGGTCAAGACCACCAGGACCCAGCCTGGCCCTGCGTTCCTCTTCTTCCTGCTCCCGGATAGCCTCCTGTATTTTCTCTGCTGCACGCTTCTTGATACGTGACTTGAATTGTTCTAACTCATCATCAAATGAGTCCTTGTACGTTTTCTCGGCTAATTGAATCCTGTTAGATATTGATATAATTAGCTGTATATAAAGAACAAAATCAGTGGTACATTCACAAATAGAATACATGAGTCAGGTAAATGGATATTTATAAAGAAATGTTTATTTTTAATTTCTTACAGTTTGTTTAATATATTTTCAATTGAGCAAGCGGCCACATGAATTACTCGAAATAACGACTGCTGCCCATAGACATTTGCAAGTGCAGATGCAGCCTGCCTTTATTTAACAGAGGAGATGTATTTTACAGTATCCATAATTTTTAAAAATATTGTACACTTCCGAGTCTAAATTCTCCATTTAAAACATATTATCTCTTTGTTGTCAATGATAATAACACAGACTGCAATCTTACTAATATTATAAATGCAAATATTTACATAGATAGATAGATGGATGGATGGATGTTTGTTTAAAGGTATCACCCGAAAGGCTGAACGGAACTTGATGTAATTTAGCATACATATAGAACATACAGTGTAGAGCAGTAGTCTGGAAGTATACATAGGCTGCTAATTATGTTTTTTTTTAATTAACCTCTTATATGTTTTATACAAAGATTTTGGTGCCAGTAACCCACAGTAAGTACTTACTTGGAGAAGAAAGAGCTGACACAAGCTCTTGGGTCTACATCCAGCTGTTTAGAGAGCTCCAGAATGTACTGCATGCAGATAGTCTGGTGCGCCACATGCTCCATAAGATTGTGTTTCTGAAATTATATTGATTATTATGAACATAGACAAGTTTCACATCATTTTTTGTCATTTAGGTATTTATGTATATTACAAATATTTAAAGCAGAATCTCACTAATTCAGCATTTTAATTCACGAACAAGTCAAATAATCTGATTTAGGATGGTGATTTACATCTAAATATGTATTTTTGAATCACCCTGAACTTAGGGTAGGCTCCGAGCCCCTCGGTGGGGACGTATAGTGAGCTGATGATGATGATGATGATGTATTTTTGTGTGTATATTTTAGGTTTTGCTATGCTTTTTACAAAAATAGAGGTAACATTATCTTTTTGTAGAAAATACAGGAATAAATAAAGCCTGAAACACTAAATACTTATTGGAACTCTATGGATTATATGAATGGATATTTATTATAACTTAAATTTAGAATAAGGGAATGTAAATTTACCTCTTCCATTTCTAAATTGATGCACCATATGACAAGATAATTTGCAGTTTCTTCACAAACTAATTGGTTGTGATCTAACAGGAATTTTTTAGAATCATCATACTTCCTCAACATTCCAAACTGTTTCAATAATTTCTCATTTTCTTTAATGAATTTCTTCATCTTTGCCTCTTTTTCCTCTTCAGTGAGATTTTCATCTTTAGATCTAGCTGGCTTTGTGTTTATAACTGTTTTTGTAAATCCTGGAGCACTAATTGTGTCGACATTCCAAGGAGTTTGCTTCTCTTTCTTTCTCAATTCTTCTTCTTTTTTAAGAATCTCATTCTCAGTCTTCTCCAGTTCGCTAAGGGCTTTTTTCAATGATTCCAAGTTGGGACTAGACGGATCAGTCTCTGCAATCTTGCGTTTGGTTTCGCTTATTTTCCTAAATGTTTCAGACTTCTTCTGCTCGAACTCCTCTTTTTCCCGTTTACGCTCCTCCATTCTTTCCACACGAGCCTGATGCCGCCATCGGAACAACGATGGTGTGTCAATATTTGGATGTGTTTCATCTTCATCGTCAGAAATCTAATAAGGAAGATATTGATCGTTAATTTATTGGAGTAATCATGACGTATACGGTGGTTTCGATAACTTAGCTATCTCCATTAAAAAAAACTAACGATATTTATGGTTTTTACAGGTTAAGAATTTCAATTCAAGCATTTCATTTAAGAATCGTGTAATATATGATATAGTGTCACATCGTATATATTTCATAATAAAAACATACAGCAACTTAACAAATATACGTTAAAAGAAAATACTAATCATTTCTATTCGGTACGTCATTGTATTGTTTACGTACCTCAATGTCCTTCCATTTGCTGTAATCCACCATTGTTTTATTTATAACCGTTTACTTTCCTTTAAAGCGTTTGCAATTATACTTTTCTCGTCGTAAAACTGCTATAATCAATTTTAAAAACACAAGGCGTGTACACACAACTTAACTTTGATTTGACAGTTGAATAATCCGGAATATTCTTTCAATTTTCCAGAAAAACTTGCCATATCTTAAAAAATAAGGACGTAGAAAACTTGTGTTGTGTAAAGTAATGGTAATACGGAGAAAACTGATGGAGCTCTGAGAGTTAATATCGTAATGAGTAAGAAACCAACTATCATATGATCTCAGAATTTATTTTGTGCCTGTAATAAAGACGAGCTTCAAGATGCAGTTTACCAATAATTTGCCTATAATCTGACAGGCAGGGTAGGAGGAGGGAATGATTATGTTGGGAGACTCGGGGAAAATGCGATTTTTTCATTAGATAAAAAACAATATTATGTTAAAAAAGATTAACTTGACTAAAATTCTAAATCGAAGATCTTTATTTTGTTTCATAAAACATTTGTCGCTCGGAAATTCGCCGAATTTTAGTGGCCGCATGCCGCATGCTCATTTGCCACCTTATGATATAAAAAAACATATCTTCGTTTGGTAACTCGTTCTCATTTAATTAAATAGAATGATTGAATGATTAATATATGTCTACAAATAAAAAGCAATATATTAGATTTCTTTACAAACCTAATAACTAGTATTCTCTACGCTAAATCATAGAATTGTTTTTTTTTATTTACTTTTTATCTTTGTATTTCAAAATATTTATTGTTTCTTTTTTTTCTTCGCCAGCGTTGTTAAAATTGTTGTAATTGTAGTAGGAACACTGGACGACTCAAATGGTATGGTATCGTTGATAAAAGATCTTCCCCCGTAATCCATTTCACCTTGGTTATCATCAGGAATACTTATTTGAAATTGTAGAAGTACGACTAAATATGTAACCATTGTCGCTAAAAGCTGAAAAAGAAGATTTCCTTTTTTATTATTATATAATATATTGAAAAGTTACTATCAATAAGTTTTATCCCAGATAGCTGTCGCCCGCGACTCCGTCCGCGCGTAATTAAAAAAAAAAACATGATGAGCCTATATGTTTTTCCAGTTTCATCGAGATTCGTTCAGCCGTTTTGGTGATACCTTCAAACAAACATCCATCCATCTATCCATCTAAACATTCGCATTTATAATATTAGTAAGATATAGGAAAAAGTTTTTTTTCACTTCAAGGTTATTTTTCGATCATTTCAACATTAAGAACACTATTCAGAACTACTCACCGATTTGAATAGGTTCCTATTTACATCGAAAAATCCGCCGAGACTTATTTCTGAGGGATTCATTTCAGTGGCTCGTAGAAACATATTAACTTCGGTTTGCGCGTCTGTATTCATCCAGGAGAGTTCGACCATTAGCAATTTCTTTTGGAAATTTGTACGTACCTAATAGAAACATTATAAGAAAATGTACCCTTTTGAACCCTTATAATTATAATATAATTTAAACACGCTAAGTTTAACAAGATCGTGAGTTCCATTTTTTTACTTTTTAAATATAATGCATAATTTACTGTATTGGAAAAAGACGAAATATGTTTAAATCACAGGTTCTTTTATTTGAGAAAGTCAATGATGAGTGCTATTAAGATAAAATATCCTAAGAGAGATATCCTTAGTAAAAACCCTCCATTAATTATAACTAGCATCTGATGGAGTTGTCATTACGTTCTATAAAAATCATATCTTACATTCTGTGAAGCATAATGTGCTTCATCACATATAAAGAAGAGTAGAAATATACTGCAAGTTGCCGTTACAGCTAATCCAATGTCTTTGATGCCGAAACCATCGGAAATCTGGCTCAGAAGACCATAGATTGATAAAGTAATGATCAAGAACAAATAGAGGTTGACAAAGGTGAAAGTGTAGCAGTTGGCTATGCCAGTGTCACGTGCTAGTTTGCTCAGACGCAGCCATAGGGCACGGTATTCGGCGACTTTTCCCGCCGGACCAATGTGCCGGAGAGCCTGAAATATTATAATTCTCAATTCAGATTAATTGAAATAAATTACGACTCAAAAAAAAAACAATATAAACGAGGTAATGTCCTGTCGATTAAAATCAATTTAATGAAAATTCGACACGATTCGCTATTGTAAAGTTTGACCTAAAAATCTACAAAGAGGTTTTCACAAACGGGTGCTTAATGTTCACATGGTAAAATGTTTGCTCTATTTTATTTTGTTTATTTTTTACTTTAATAAATTAATTTCTTTTAGCCTATCCAATTAAAAAAATCATAATTTAGTTAAATTTAAAATCTCACCAGTTGAAAATCGTCAGCTAATATTTTAGCGCAAATACTCAATGTCTCACAGAGTAGGTACCAGTAACCTCCCAGGATATACGTCAATATCTCCAAAAATACATATGGTATGATTTGCACCAGCTTGAAGTCAACCATCGTAACATGGGTTATTATAACCGAGGTGGTCGATAGAATAGGTATTATAATCGCAATAGCAAGAGATTTTCTATACAAATGTACAGGCAGCACATGACCGGATAATTTTTTATAGGTTACCTGTGTCGAAAAAAAAAGCTGTTATACAAACTATATATTTAATCTTTGAGATTGATTCGACAATTATTTCAATTAGTATGAGGAAGATTGCAATCGGTTTTTGAACCGATTGGATGAAACTTACCTCGAAATCGACCCATCCATTGAGAACTCCAGCAATTTTTCTCGTTTCATACCACATTATGGGGACAACAATCATCGGAAATAAATACACCGTGAATAGATACTCGATGACAGCTTCCTCAAACTTTCCTTCTGCAGTTCGTAAAATTTGAACTTTATGCAAAGACAGATACAAAATGTAGCTGATGAGTAAAAGATATAATACAGCAGAATAAACCATGGATATTGATTTTACTGTGAACTGGTTTAATCCAGGAGACTTTCTTGTTAATGGCAAAACACCCATGAGTCTGAGTAAATTAAAAACGGGACCGATATTCTCATAAATTATGTCCTTATATATTTTTGTTTCGATCAAATTATTTCTTAAAGGTAAAATCGCGTTCTTTGAAGATTTATAATTGGGCGTCCTTATTGGAGTTACATCTAAAAATACTATTTTATTTTTCTTTTTTTCATCAAAATGACTAACGAAACCGTTCGGTATTGGTAACGTTTTCGAATATAAATTTTTGTTGCTATGATAATAGGACATTTTAGACGCGTATTTCTTAGAAAATGGATCCTTTCGAATACAATTGCGGAGTAAGAATGGGGAAAAGATTTCAATTTTGTAAGGGGACGGCAAAAGTAATATTTCAAAAGTTGACATGATGATTATGGCAGTATGGCGGAGTGTTTTGACGTCTTTCGTTAATCATTCACGCGCTCTTCACCTTGGTGCGACCTTGGAAGACCTTGAATGGGCTGCTTTTGTTTATTTTTCTACAATTCTACATGTATTTTCAAGCATATCATGTAACTATTTAATTTTTAAACAACTTTTCCTGAACAATACTTTATGAGACTTGGTTAGAAATTTAAGTTAAAAGGTGAGCTGTTGACACACAAATAGATATAAATATATGCAAATTATTTATCAAATAGTGATCTAATGAATTCAAGTTAACCATGATAAATAAATAAAACTATTGTGTGAAATACGATAGTATTTTTCCCGCCAATTTTATTGTGAATCAATAAAGACGAAAAAAAAAACATATTATTTTTTTGTTCCAAAGTGCACATATAATTTGGCGTTTGTTCAATAGAAACTTACCAAATGTTAATTTTGGATGACGTTGTTTTTAAGAAAGAAAATTTCCCTTTAAAAATATTTGCCGGACACTACAGTGTAACTTAATGAGTTACGTCCGAATAAATAAATTCTGTCGTTGCGTTAGTAAGCAAAGCTCTTTATTTTATTGAGCATAAAACTAGGAGACCGCAACAAATAAAGTCGACTCGTAGTATTCTAGCCATGTTAAATGTAGGCCGTAAACGAGCACTTTTAAATATTGTAGCATCAAGTGAATAGGACTTCGGTAATGTACATCTTGGATTTTATTACCTGTGACGTCATAAACTTTTAAGTCAACAATGTTGCCAGTGACAAATATTTTTATATAAATTATAATAAATTGTGAATATTGCTTATTGTGCCTTTGTTGTAGTTTTGCTATGACAGGCCAAAAATGATTTAAAGTAAATTCGCTCATTAAATATTGGTTCTCTGGATAAATTATTAATAATAATTATTGAATATTAAACTAGATTTTCTTCGTTATAACGTCATTTGTAAGCGGAAAACTTTATAGACTTATTTACCGCAGTGAACAATAGTATTTAGAATAGGATTATTCTATATCTAATGCAATAAAATCTTAGATTAACAGGGTTTTCATATTATCAGTGTTACAATATGACTTTGTATACACAAACATAGTTCTACTAACACTGAAAAATGTAACAGGCGTTTAAAAAATATTAGCCTTTATTTCTTCAGAGTGACTGAGGACTTTGGGAAACCACTGTTTCTCAGAACAAATCATGATTTAACTCTGCTTATTTTTTTAAAATTTTGTTCGTATTACAACAAACTTAAATTACTATATTACTGCTTTAAATATTTTGCACTCATTTTTTTCAGCCTTATTGTAAAACATGCTGTGCCATGCCCGTTCGCTCTAAATTAAAAAAAATAACGTAATTAGTAGCCTGTGTGTTCTTCCAGATTATGTTCTACATCTGAGCCAAAATACATCAAGATCCGTTAAGCCCTTCCGGAGATACGTTGTAACAAATATCCATCCATCCATATAAATAATATTAGTTTTATTATGGACGAATACCCTTGACCTAAGCCATCTTGTATTTAATTCGTTAAGTCCTTTACAGCACGTATGTGTAAACAGTATTTATAAGCAAGGTCGGCTATTAGTTTCAGTCCTGTATGGATAGCAAAAAAGGGATAAATTCGGCAAGAACCTGGCGCTTGTGAGGTGGTTGGTATGCGTCGAGTGTGCGGGCTTGCTCTGAGCCCTTGACAACTTTGTCACGCCCTACACACGTGATTTGATTTCCTTTTACAACTACCTACGATTAGGGTGACTGTATATTATATATTTCTTGGATAGTTTTTGTAAGTATAAGCAAATACATAATAAATACTTTGCGTCGTGCGTATAAATTTGGAACACGAAATTTTTTTTACACATTGCAATACAGTAGTTTAAATATTTTAACGAATTTTTAAATTGGTTATGGTTGACCATACAATTATTGTTGTCTATTTAATTTCATCTTAAACTAGTTGTCGCCCGCGACTCCGTCCGTGCGGTATCGAAGATAAAAACTTAATTATCAGCCTATGTGTTCTTTCAGACTAAGTTCTAAATCTATGCCAAATTTCATAGAGATTCATATAGCCGTTCTCGAGATACCTTCAAACAAACATCCACATTTATATTTTAAGATAGGCTTTAAAAGATTTTTTTCCTACTAAAGCGTTTATCATGAAAAATATGAGCTATCATGGTGACTAAGATTTAAAAAGATAAATATGGACACTCTTTTACAAATAGACAACGTTTGCTTTGGTTTTGCGTGGCCCTTTATTCAATTACTGTATGTTTACTATTATTATGTGTTAGAAATCTAACAGATAAATAAAACTGGAGTATCTCTATTTAATATGTGAATATTTTTTTTATATTTCGTACATATGATGTTTTTGTGTTACTTTAACAAAAACATTAAGGAAAACAATTAATTAGATTTCCACTGACGCAGCGACCCAAAGTGGGCCTTTGCCTCCGAAAAAAAGATAATTAAAAACACAATCAATATTTCAGTATATTTTTTAATTTGCGTAATATAATATCTTAATACAGATAATAAATTTCAACTTAAGATAACACAAGATTGCTGATAAAAACATCGGCAGTCAATCTATTTCGCACTTTTTTTATAAAGATGTCTAGTGAGGAACGTTTATATTATGTCGTGTCTCAAATAGCGAAGAGTCTGGAATTAAAGAATTATAAATATACAAGAAGTGGCATCGACGAAAATATTGAAAATTATTTAGGTGAATTAGTATTTGTTACGATAAACGGTGAAACGAATGATGGGGAAATTAAAAAGGATATTGTTGTGAAATTCGCACCGAATAATACATCGCTTAGAGAATCGGGAGCTCTTGAAGTGGTTTATAGTGTTGAGGCAGCTGTATACACAGTTTTATTGCCATATTTTAGAAGATTATCGAAATTTGATACAAGAGAATTGTTCCCGGAATGTTTGTTCACAGATTGCACACAATATAAAGAAGTTCTAGCAGTATCGAACATGTGTAGCAATGGATACCGTAGGCATATTGATAATAAATTTCTTGATATAGACCATATGATAGTTTCTTTAAAATCATTAGCAAAATTTCACGCCCTTTCAATGGTACTGAAAAATAATATTAAAGAAGAAGATTGGAATAATTTGTTGCCAAATTGTTTTGATTATCCACCGAAATATACAACTTCTTTGAGGTTATCTTGGCAAGGTAATTTGGATAAATTGTTAGACACGAAACGTGATATATTTAGCAAGATAGATGCTAATTTTGATGACGTCATCATTAATAATATAAAAGATGCAAAATGTTTAATATACGCGCATGGAGACTATTGGAAAGAAAATATTTTATTTAAATATGAAGTAAGTCTTGTACATATACTTATTACTTTTTATTTTCATATAATAAGAACCAATTTTCTTTGATAAATAATTTTAATACAATTGCTTTAACGGTAGCGTTTTAACGAATTGTAGTTGTAATCAGGAATATCAAATGAAATGACGTCATACTTGTACACTAATACTACTGCTATCTTTGTTTTATTCCAAGAGAATGAACGAGAGGGATGACAATATAGCAGTAACACAAGTGTTAGGACTGTTTAGAATCAGTGGTTCCCAAACTTATTTTGTGTACTGCCCACTTTGAGAATAAATATTTTTTTAGCGCCCCCAATATTTTCACATATTTAAAAACCACTATAACTTCAAATTAAATTAATTAATTATTGTGACCTATGTATATTAACGGAGAATTCTAAACGAAACTTTTACTTTAACCCGCAACTTGAGACCTGCGGCGCCCACAAGGGGGCGTTATCGCACACTTTGGGAAATGCTGGTTTAGATCCACCGTACATCAAAAAATGACATATTTTGTACACAATAATGTGTTTGCTGATAACAATTTTTTTTTTTAATTCTCTGTTTATCATCCTACCTTTCCGGAAGGCCGTGTTTGTTCCGAGTATTCTCCGGAAAGGATGGACCGGACCGATTTTGATGGGACTTTAACGGAAAGGTAACCGATGCACGCGGGATTATTACAGGCTTCTTTTTTTAAATTCTGCGCTGACGAAGTTACAGGCGACTTCTAATATTGTTCTGTGCTCACAGTTTTTTTATTGTTTCAGGACGACAAACCAGTTAAATCGTGCATATTGGACTTCCAATTGACTCGTTTTTTATCACCCGCTCAGGACTTTCTCTGTTTCGTATTTACTAGTTTCGATTGCAAACTTAGGAGACAGTATTACGAACTATTTATATCAACATATTATGATTGTTTGAAAGAAACTTTATTAGAACATGGCTTGAATGTCGACGACTTTTATTCTAGACACGATTTAAATCATGATTTTAAAGCAGTAGCTCCATATTGCATAATTTATGCTAATTTATCATTCTCTTTATGGCTTGATCTGGAAAAATATTCGTTTGTAAAAAGCAAAAATATCAATTCAGAAGAGAATTCAAATATTTTACAATATAAAGATATTATGCTTGGGATTGTAGAAGATTTTCTACAATTAGGCTATATGTAATTCAAAACTGGCCGTTAATTTTAAATTGTTCGTTTTTTAATACATTTTAAATTAAAAAGCAATAGTATTACGATGGAGTTGTTAATTATTTGTATTCAAATAAACAAAAAACTCATATGATTTTTGTTTTATTCATTTTGTAGCCGTAGCAACTTCTTGGTCGAGTTGGCACCGGAATTCCTTAGTTTTACTGCCACAAAAACTTGCATATGTAATTTTACTAATATTATAATTGCTAATGTTTGGATGTATGGATATATATAGATGGATAGATATTTGTGAGACATTATCTACGTAATGGCTTCATGGATCTCGCTGAAATTTGGCATAGATGTAAAACATAGTTTGGAAGAACAAATAGGCTACTAATTAAGTTTATTTTAAATTCCGCGCGGACATAGTTGCTGGCGACTGCAAATTTACTACTTTTATAAATGCGAATGTATGGATGGCTGAATGGATGGAAGAATGGATGAAATATTTTTTGAAGGTTTCTCCAGAACAGCCGCATGGATCTCGTTGAAATTTGGCATTAATATAGAATATTGTCAGGAATGACACATGGGCTACTAATAAAGTTTACTTTTTGTTCCACGCGGACAGAATCGCGGGAGACAGCTAGTAATTTACAAAGATAACAACTTGTTCTATGTATTTAATAGACAGAATAATATAAATACGAGCATATTCTTGGTTTTACATGCATTATAACAGATAACGAGTAAATAATATAAACGTATTTGAGCAGCAAACATTCATTATATTGATAACCAAACGTAAAATACGTTAGGAAGATAATACCAGTGCAAGTTCAAGATAGCGAAATGACACACGAAGAGCGTTTAACTGTAACATTAAAGAAACTGGTCGAAAAGTTAGAAATAAAAAACTATGAATATCATTTCCGTAATATACAAGAAACAATAGAAAACTACTTCGGAATACTTATACCGATTACTTTGAAGGGAGAAAATAAAAATGGCGACTGGTTGAAAGAATTGATAGTGAAAATGCCACCGAATCAAGCAATATTACGAGAACTTGGAGTTATTAAGGTGCTATACGGTTCTGAGGTTTTTGTTTATAACGTTTTAATTCCATATTACAGGAGATTATCAAAAATTGATTTGAATCAACTGTTCCCTAAATGTTATTATGCAGATTCTACGCTAAATAATGAAGTTATTGTTATGAAAGATATGTGCAAAGAAGGATTCCAACGATTCAGTGGAGATAGATTTTTAGATGCAGATCATATAATCGTATCATTAAAATCATTAGCACAGTTTCACGGACTTTCAATGATTTTGCAATATAATGTAAAAAATATAGGTGATGAGGAAATTATGACTCCATATATTTCTAGTTATCCGAGACAATTGATGGTCGCTTTAAAAGATTCTTTAAGAAATCATATAAATATATTCAAAGATACTGATTACGAAGGATTTTATTCTATGATTCTTACTAATTTTGATCATATTGTCGATAATAATACGTACAAAGCAAGCCGTTTAGTCTACGGCCACGGAGATTTGTGGAAGGAGAATATTTTGTTTAAATATGAGGTAAATATTTATGTTATTGTTACGACTACACTTTTCGTATGATTTTGTTTTTTTAAAGCATAACGGAGTTTATAATCAAATCAGCTAGGATTAAAAGTCAGACATAAAAATAATGTTTCAAATTCTAATGTGCTACTTAGTTCTGTAAGTATTTTTATCGTTCATCTTGTTTTTTTTTTCAGGACAATAAACCTATAAGCGCGTGTATGCTGGACTTTCAAACAACTCGTCTTTTATGTCCCGCTCAAGATGTCTTAATATTTATCCTTACAAGTGCAGAAACAAAAGTCAGAAGGAAATGTTATGAATTTTTTCTATCAACCTACTACGATTGTCTGCAGCAAACTCTATCACAACATTCCTTGGATCCCGAAACCACATATTCAAGAAGTGATTTCAATCGCGATCTTAAAACAGTGGCCTTTTATTCCTTTATAGCAAGTAATTTGGCTTTTGCCTTGTGGTTAGGTTTAGAAGAGAAAGCAATAATACAAAGTAAGAATATTTGTGAAGAGGGAACTGAAAAAAATTCAACTACACTTTATTATAAACAAATAATGCTTGATATTATACAAGATTTTGTTAATCTTGGGTATTATGTACCGAAGAGTTTTGAGTAATATTATTTCAGATTCCCTATATTTGCGTTGTGTTTTTGAAAGCAATTTTGTTGTATCGAAGTGAATTTGATAAACCGGCACAAATCCGAATTTGTTCTTCCTTTAGTACTAACAAAATAATGAGAAGTAACTTTACACATAATACATGCAATAGTAAAATCAAATTCATAATCTCTGCGTGTCTGCGAATTTATATTTTTGTAGGTAAATTTTAGTAATTTAATTTAGTTCTAATAAAAACTTTTAAAAACGGAACATAACTTTGACATATGACATTGTCAATGTCAAACAAATTGTAAACAAAATAAAAATGACACGAGAATAACGCGATCGCGAGGATGATAAGAACACTTCTTAAAGTAGTATTTTTCATTTATTTTATACATTTTACTGTATAGGTTTAGTTTTTTGTTCCACTTAGATAATATGTCTGTATTAATTTCTTCAAATTATATCGAAACTGTTGTAAATGACGTAGCCGTTGCCTGCTATTTAAAGGAATGGAGTTACATAGAAGAAAGTTTAGACGCGAAAGCCCAGAACTATTTTGGCGTTCTTATTCCAATATCTTTAGAGGGGAAAATAAATAACGAAAATGTATCTTTAAAATTAATGTTGAAATTAGCACCGACGGATGACAGATACCGTGTTAGCGGGGCAGTGACAGCTATGTTTGCGCGGGAAATATTTGTATATTCGAAAGTTTTTTCAAAATATCAAGACTTACAAAAATGTTTACAATCTCAGTATATTATACCAAAATGTTATTATGTATGCAAGGACTATTGTAAAGAAGCTTTAGCAATTCAAAACATGTGTGAAAGCGGTTACTTACCATTTATTCACAGTATGTTTTTGGATGTCGACCATTTGATTGTGTCTTTGAAAAGTCTTGCAAAGTTTCATGCTCTATCTTTTGTTATGGAATTTAAGGAAACTGAATTATTTGCTGAGGTGAAAAATATTTGTTTACCATTATCAGAAAGTACCAATAAAAGATACATTGACATTTTACTTGATAGACTGGAAAAGGCTTTATTGAAGTTTGACAACACTAATTATGTGCCAATGTTACAGCATTTAAAACAGAATTGTACAAAATATATAGAGGATGTGTATTCATCGTCTGAAAGGAACTGTTTATGTCATGGAGATATTTGGAAAGAAAATATACTTTACAAATATGAGGTGATTAACTTTGATTTCTTTTTAATTTTGCATTATAAATTCATCATTTATTACTGGCTTTATACTGATTTCTTTTTCCAGGACAACAAACCAGTGTCTGCTTGCTTAATAGACTTTCAAACTGCAAGAATAAGTAGCCCCGCTTTTGATGTGTTATATTTAATAACAAGTAGTGCTAATAGTAAACTGAGACAAAAACATTTTGTATCCCTTATTGAGATTTACTATAGTACATTGTTGGAGTTTTTCAAGGATGCCAACTTTGAAAATGTGTACAGCCATAGACAATTGGAGAAAGACCTAAAGACAGTTGGACCTGCTTGCTTTATAGTTGCAAATACAGCTCTATGGTTGTCAAGTGGATTGCAACAAGAGGGCCATGTGCGAAGCAAGAAAATTTTACAGAGCGAATTTGAGATAGCAATGGCCGTTGATAATTATAAAGCTATAATAAAGGGAATTTTAGATGATTTTATTGGTTATGGATATTTACCAGAGATATTAAGTTAATTTAACTTATTTTAAATAAAATTAATACGAATAAATGTTTGAAAAACAGCCTTTAATCAATGATCTGATTTTTAAATTTTATGTTTGTAACCATTTTTAATTTAAAAACATATATTTTTTATATCATAAATGTGGCAAACGAGCGAGCGGCCACCAGGAAATATATATTTAATATATATATTTATTTGAAAATTCTAACTAAACAAGAAATTAAATTTTATTTTAAATATCATAATTTATATGTTATATTAAAATGTATTGTTATGTTTAAAAAATATAATTGTTATGTTGACATCTTGTTTTTTTTTTCGTTCTGTAACTAGCGACATCAAGAATCGGGCTTTTGTCATTAAAAATAAATATCAAATTTTTATCTAAACTAGTTGTCGCCCGCGACTACATGCGCGCAGTAATAACCTAAACTTGGTACCCTATGTGTTATTTTATCCAGACTATGTTCTGCATATTTGCCGAAATTCTAAGAAATCCAAATATTAGTAAGATGGATAGGATTTTTTTTTATATCATAAGGTGGCAAACGAGCTAGCGGCCACCTGAAATCGACGGAGGAGAGGATGTGTAGAAAGAAAAAATATTCTTCCTTTCCATGGATCCCCTCATCCGGAAAGTTCACTTCTACTTCCCATCCTTTCCTTATAAGAAAAAGGGTGGAAGGGGAAAGATGACTAAATTAGGCCTCCGGGACGCACACTCAGACGAAACGCGGAATTGCTTCCACTTCACGCCTGTCTTCTGTGTAGTCGTGGTATTTCACCGGCGAGCCGGGCCAAGTCGAGCGAAGATGTCAAAGCGGGCTCTACCACTGTTAAATTTGATTACAGTTTATTTTTTTAATTCCGATACTAAAATAGTTTCATTATAAAGCAAATGTTTTTAGATTCAATTTAAATACTTTCACAATACATACTTTGTATAGCTAAGTACAATACAATAGCGGCACAATATTGCGACGAAGCCTTAACTTTTAGCTCCGTCACAGACGATTTCACTTCCTTTTTGCAACTCAAAGCAACGTTCCACAACTTCCTGTTTCAATGCACTACAAAGGATTTTATTTTGCTTAACTTATTGTACACTTATATTTTTATTATATAAAATTCGTGGCTCAGTTTAGCATGTGTTAGATATAAAACTACTGAAATAAAGAGTTCATATATTCGGACTTTTTTAAAATCAGTAATTGTGCTAAAAAGTTATTAGTATTTACGAGTTGTTATTATTATTAAACCTAAAATTAAAATTAAGTTAATTATTATATGATTAAAAATTTACTGTTTTATTTTTTCCAAAATATAAAGTGCTATGTTTCGAACATCGACTATCATTAAGGTAATGTAAGTACGCGGCTCTGAAAGCTAAAGGGAGTTCTTTCCGAACAACCGGCGTAGTTTCTTGAGCCAAAATGTTTGTCTTCGAACTAGACTTCGCTTTACTATGATCTTTCCTTGTACTCTGAGCTGTAGCAGTTCGTATTTGGTGTTTCTCATTATGTGGTCTAAGTACTACTTAGTTTTTCTTTATTGCGTACTAGCCCGCGACTCAGTCCCAGCGGAAGTGAAAAAAAACATAATTATTAACCTAAATATTCTTCCACTTCTGTGTTCTACATTTATACCAAATTTCAATGAGATCCATGAAGCCGTTCTCGAGATACCTTCAAATAAATATCCATCTAAACATTCGTATTCATAGTATTAGTAAGATTTCAAAATATAGTGACAAATAATACTGGTCAGTTTAGTAAAGTAATAATTATTCGAAGCGTCAATAGCCTAATGGTTAAAAGGGTACGGATTTCCGATCACGAGGCTGGGGATTCGAATTCCGCTATTCGGCTATTAGCTTAGTTTGAATGGCACAAAAAATATTACTTAATTGACAAAAATCTACTAACATGCATAAAAAAAACATAAAAATCATACTTCTCATATTTACAATATTTGCATAGACTTATGTAGGTAATAAAAGTTGCTCATTTATTTGCGAAGTAACATTTATTTTGGGTAACGTATTGATGTTGTTACCAACCTATCAATTCCAGTAGATTTATTTTAAATAGGACGAATCATTAAATGGAGTGAAAAAAGTAGGGTCTTGAGTAGCAAGGAAACCGTTCATTGAAAAAAAAAACGGGTCGGACCGTTTTTCAACGGTTTTGCAAAGGAACTGTATTAATTTATGTTATGCATTATAATATGTCTTACTAATATTTTTGCTGTTATTTTTTCTTTTTAAATTCAAAGACAATGTAGAACTTGAAGAGTTACGAAATAAGTTCCCTTAGGACAACTCAAAATAAGTTAGCTTTTTAATACAAATAAAGATATCTCAAGGGAAATTAATGTATAGAATAAAAAGTGCGTGTTATGATTTTTTTTAATTTAAACGGTAGATTTTGTATAAGTTTCAAAATCTTATATATAAAATTCTCGTGTCATAATGTTACCATACTCCGAAACGGTTTTTATTGATTTTTTTTTATATCATAAGGTGGCAAACGTGCGAGCGACCACCTGAAATCGCTGAAATAGCGAAGTGATCGTTGCCCATAAACATACGCAGTTGCATATGCGTTGCCAACCCTTAATCGACGGAGGAGAGGATGCACAGAAATAAAATATTTTCCCCTTCCATGCATCCTCCCATCCGGAAAGTCCACTTCCACTTCCCATTCTTTCCTTATGAGAAAAGGGTGAGAAGGGAAAGGGGACTAATTTTGGCCTCCGGGATGCACACTCATCAGACGAAACGCGGAATAGCTTCCACTTCACGCCTGTCTTCTGTGTGGTCGTGGTATTTCACCGGGCGAGCCGGGCCGATTCGTGCGAATATGTTAAAGCGGGCTCTACCACTGTTAATGATTTTTTTTAAATAAAATTGTATATGCAACTTAAGCTAACCTAAGAATCGGCTGCTATCTATTTTTTAATCCCGCGCGGACGGAGTTGAGGGCAACAGCTAGTATTTTATATAGGTTGCTATATGTCTTAACAAACTTTCTTTTTTTTTCAACAGGATTTTGAACGTAACGAACGCTCCTTCAGTATGTAAGAAGTTTGGTTTACTAAGCCTCCCATAAAATAGATCTACAATCTGGTTAAGATTGCGGAAGTTGTGTTGATAAGAAAGGTAACTTTTGTGGAACACGTACATTGGCTTCTATAAGTAGATGTATTTTTATCCTAACTGTATTCCTTTAACCATGAAATTTTAACGTACAGAGGTAGAGAAGAACAGCGGATATTTACTCTTCCCATACGAACCCTATTTTTTTTTCAGAGGGGAATGCTTTATGCATACTCCGCGCCCCGGGGGGGACGCGGTAGTTATGTGGGATTCTCCTCCATAGCGGAGGCATACCCACTAAACCTCTCTGTTCCTCCAACGCATCGGGACGGGACCACGGGCACGCTTTCGCTCTCGTCCGCGGCCTTCCCATACGAACCCTCTACCAATTCCATCTCGCCCTCAAATATCGGGAGGTATTACAAGAATCGAGTGGAATTTTAATCTACAGATCAGGATAGGTCAGCGAGTGGTTATTTTCCCTTCCTATGCATCCTCTTCTCTATCGAATTCACCTCGCCTTTCTTATAAGAAAAGGGTAAAAAGAAGAGGACTAAAATTAGGTTTCAGGTACACTGCAGTCAAAAGTGTCCCTGTAGGTGTGTTTATGAAGTTTTCGTTTAAGAATTTAATAAAATTTCGACTTTATAATATTCTGCATTGAATGTTTGGACGTAAAATTGAATCTTGTGAAACGCCGCAGTGAAACAGTCGTATATTTCCTTTATTGTGCCCGCACTGAATGTTCCTGCCCCTAATCGCTGTACGACGTGAGCGATTTAAAACTACTGAACGATTTATAAGGAATGGATAAGTGAACGGATTTTGATACAAGTATATAAAATCATTCACTATGTTTAGGTCACCGTTTGAATCAACATGAATATTAATGTACTTTTTAGCCGACTTCAAAAATAAGGAGGTTATCAATTCGTCTGTATGTTCTTTTTTTTATGCGCGTTACCGCGTAAATCCGCCCCTGGTGCTCAGATTTTGATCGAAAGGTTTTGCATGCATATGGGTCCAATTTTTTTTAAAATTTTTAAAATAAACGAGTCCGTTTAAATTTTTATGTTGCTGTTAACATCGAAATAAATATAAATCATGAAATGAACGTTATAAAAGCAAAAATTGTAAAGTTTAATAAACTCGAAGCGCCCTTAAAGTATCTAAACAATGTTGGGGAGGCTCATAAAGTGTTTTACGTCTTAAATATGCTAAGCTGGTAGCCGAATAATTTTGCAACAAGATCGCTATGAAAATTTATGCAAAAGAAATAAATCAGTTGATATTATATCCTTAAGAATTATGACTGACTTTGAGTTTGTCCCGTCCAGAGTTTTGTTAATTTTTTTTAATGTCGGAAAATAAGACGAAGGAATGATATAACATCAAGACGAGCACAATTTTTAGGTGAGAAAAAACGCCAAAGGATAAAATAAGGATTAAATTAAGTTACACTTCGTATGCATAGAATAGCCTAAATTCAAAACTTGTCTGTTATTGAAGAAAAGGGTCCTACTAGTGTGCTCTTTATACAAAATAATTTTACTAACAAATACAAATTTGGAATACGTAATAAGGTCTAAACCTATTTCACTTAGTCGGGTTATTGAAAAATAACCTAAAATCCAATCTAGATTTATAATAGACTTGGTACCTTGCAATCACAGATTTATTTTCTAAACAGAATTTTCACGTCGAACATGAATTTATTTTGCATAGATTTTAATAATGATGAAGTCGATAAATTATTCTATTCGGCTTTCCATATTATACGAACAAGATATAGCTTCTTAACTCCGTTTAAAAATACATTATTTTTGTAACAAGTTAGAAGTTTTATAGATATATCCTGCCTTGTACTCCTTGGTATCAATCTGCAGTATCACTGCTTTATTTTTAATAATGTAGGGCCAGTAACTTTTAATGCAACATTTTAAGAAAGAGGCGACTAAAGAAGAAAC